CCCCCTGGGAGAAATGTCCTATGGGTTTTTGGATCTGCGATATAAAAAAGTCTTGTCTCGGTCACGTGATGTGTCACGTGACCGGTCAGGTGAGCCTGTCAGCCGGGTCACGGCCCCTGTCAGCCGGCTGACATGTCACGGGCCTGCTGACACGGTCCGCTGACCGGTCACGGCCGCCCGGAGAGATCGGGCCCCCGGCCAATCTCCGGACACTTAGCCTCCTGGCGGGCCTCCAGGGGGTCTGAGGCGGGGCTGAAGGCTGCAGTCGGTCTACTGACGGGCCGGCCGGCAGGATCCGTCGAGAAACAGGGGGGTCAAGGGAGGTTTTCTTCCCCTGGGAGAAATGTCCTATGGGTTTTTGGATCTGCGATATAAAAAAGTCTTGTCTCGGTCACGTGATGTGTCACGTGACCGGTCAGGTGAGCCTGTCAGCCGGGTCACGGCCCCTGTCAGCCGGCTGACATGTCACGGGCCTGCTGACACGGTCCGCTGACCGGTCACGGCCGCCCGGAGAGATCAGGCCCCCGGCCAATCTCCGGACACTTAGCCTCCTGGCGGGCCTCCAGGGGGTCTGAGGCGGGGCTGAAGGCTGCAGTCGGTCTACTGACGGGCCCGGCCGGCAGGATCCGTCGAGAAACAGGGGGGTCAAGGGAGGTTTTCTTCCCCCTGGGAGAAATGTCCTATGGGTTTTTGGATCTGCGATATAAAAAAGTCTTGTCTCGGTCACGTGATGTGTCACGTGACCGGTCAGGTGAGCCTGTCAGCCGGGTCACGGCCCCTGTCAGCCGGCTGACATGTCACGGGCCTGCTGACACGGTCCGCTGACCGGTCACGGCCGCCCGGAGAGATCAGGCCCCCGGCCAATCTCCGGACACTTAGCCTCCTGGCGGGCCTCCAGGGGGTCTGAGGCGGGGCTGAAGGCTGCAGTCGGTCTACTGACGGGCCCGGCCGGCAGGATCCGTCGAGAAACAGGGGGGTCAAGGGAGGTTTTCTTCCCCTGGGAGAAATGCCCTATGGGTTTTTGGATCTGCGATATAAAAAAGTCTTGTCTCGGTCACGTGATGTGTCACGTGACCGGTCAGGTGAGCCTGTCAGCCGGGTCACGGCCCCTGTCAGCCGGCTGACATGTCACGGGCCTGCTGACACGGTCCGCTGACCGGTCACGGCCGCCCGGAGAGATCAGGCCCCCGGCCAATCTCCGGACACTTAGCCTCCTGGCGGGCCTCCAGGGGGTCTGAGGCGGGGCTGAAGGCTGCAGTCGGTCTACTGACGGGCCCGGCCGGCAGGATCGTCGAGAAACAGGGGGGTCAAGGGAGGTTTTCTTCCCCCTGGGAGAAATGTCCTATGGGTTTTTGGATCTGCGATATAAAAAAGTCTTGTCTCGGTCACGTGATGTGTCACGTGACCGGTCAGGTGAGCCTGTCAGCCGGGTCACGGACCCTGTCAGCCGGCTGACATGTCACGGGCCTGCTGACACGGTCCGCTGACCGGTCACGGCCGCCCGGAGAGATCGGGCCCCCGGCCAATCTCCGGACACTTAGCCTCCTGGCGGGCCTCCAGGGGGTCTGAGGCGGGGCTGAAGGCTGCAGTCGGTCTACTGACGGGCCCGGCCGGCAGGATCCGTCGAGAAACAGGGGGGTCAAGGGAGGTTTTCTTCCCCCTGGGAGAAATGTCCTATGGGTTTTTGGATCTGCGATATAAAAAAGTCTTGTCTCGGTCACGTGATGTGTCACGTGACCGGTCAGGTGAGCCTGTCAGCCGGGTCACGGCCCCTGTCAGCCGGCTGACATGTCACGGGCCTGCTGACACGGTCCGCTGACCGGTCACGGCCGCCCGGAGAGATCGGGCCCCCGGCCAATCTCCGGACACTTAGCCTCCTGGCGGGCCTCCAGGGGGTCTGAGGCGGGGCTGAAGGCTGCAGTCGGTCTACTGACGGGCCCGGCCGGCAGGATCCGTCGAGAAACAGGGGGGTCAAGGGAGGTTTTCTTCCCCCTGGGAGAAATGCCCTATGGGTTTTTGGATCTGGCTCTCGAAGCAGAGGAGGACGACGGGGGAGTTGTCCGGGCGGAAGATGAGGCCCGGGAAGAGGGACTTCTGGAAGGTGCACTTGGAGCACTGCTCGTTGTACATTCTTTCCAGATTCAAGGTGCGATTTCCCTGGAGGTCGATGATGGCGTTGCCGACGATGTTCTGGACGACGATGTCTTCTACGTGGAAGTCCACCCCGATGATGTAGGCGCGGAGCATCTCGACGATCTTCAGCGAGGCGTGCAGGCACTTGTACCAGCTCTGGGAGCCGGTCAGGACCAGCTTCCCGGAGCTGAAGAGCAGCACCGTGCAGGTGGGGTTGTCGATGCGGATCGTGATGGCGGCGAACTTGTGCTTGTCGTAGAAGCTGTTGGGCAGCACGGACGCGATGTAGTTCAGGTTGAGCGGCACCACGCTCGACCGGATCTTGGTCGTGCTGACGATGTTGTGGATGAAGGCCGGGGGCGCGTCGCTCTCACCCTCGCCCGGGAGGAAGGAGAGCTCGTCGATGGAGAGGGCGGAGTAGAGGCGCTTCTTCATGGCTCCCCGCTACCCTCCTTTCGCCATGCCACCCCCCCCTTCCCGACGTGATCCACCCAACCCAAAAAAATAACGGAAACACGCTCAAGAACGTAAGATCTTTATTGATTCTGAAACAACAATCACCGATCTCTCAACTCTCTATGCGCTCAAGGGAGAGATGCAGAGGGTCAGGTAAGGCTCCAGCAGGACTCAGAAAGCGGCAGGTCACTGAAGTCCATATTGCAAGAATTCACGAAATTTTGGTATAAGGCCATATGTCCGTAGACTTCGTGGCTCACAAATCTCGAAGCATATTGCAGTTCACCGATATTGTCAATGTGGCGACGCTGGTTGAGCTCATTGACCAAGTGCTTACAGTTCTGGCGGATGAGTGTTTCCTTCTCGAGGAGGCGGTTATAATACGACTCGATGGTCTCGTAAGACCGATCTGTGAGGCCAGCATAAAAAGCCCTGATCTTCTCGTAGTTATTTGTCACAAAACAATCGAGAAGAGAGCCATCCAGGTAACCGTACTTTTGACGGATGTCCTGAAGTGGGAGGTTTTCTATGATATCTCTTACAATTGCAAAGCATGTGTCAACCGGGAGGGAGTTCTTGCAGATGACGTTGATATGACCGAACCGTTCGGAATCAGACATGCACATCTCCTTGCCAGTGCAGGTTACGACACCCGTAATCTTCTCGTTGTCCGTGATAATCACGGTGTAGAAAGCAGTATGATATTGCAAAAACATGATGAACAGCCAAGAAGGGTCGTTCCTTAAATACACAAAAATAAGTAAATGCCATGTAGGGTCCGGGACCGGCAGGAACGGTATAAGACTGGGAAATAGTACGGTCCGGGCAACACGGCGGACAGGGGGGATCAGTGAAGGTAATGCCAAGCCCAGAGCACCGCCCCGAAGTCCGCGCCATGGCCATCGAACTCACGCCGTACCAGTCCATCATGATCCACGGCTGGTCCCGCCCCTCCTCGGTCCTGGCCTGGAAGCACGTCGTCGCAAGCGAGGCCCTGACCTGGCAGTTCCTCCGCTCGCTGGGGCTGTCCCCCGAGAAGCTCAAGACCCTGCAGCCCAGCCCGGAGGAGTGGGTCAGGCACGGCAACGTGCAGCTCCCCATGGTCACCGACATGCTCTGCTTCCCCGTCCACCCCATCCTCCACCTCCGCGCCGACATCAGCGAGCTCTGGCAGCTCAAGCTACCCTCCCACCTCCTCGAGGCCATGGGGGTGACGTACGCCCAGCTCGTCGACATCGGGATGACAAAGCAGATCATGGCGAGGTGGTCCTTCTCGCTCCACCGCTGGCGCTCGCTCGGCTTCACCGAGGACGACCTCCAGGGCTGGTCCGAGAGGGACTGCGTGCAGGTGTTCCACCTCTCGCTGCAGCAGACCCAGGCCGAGCTCAGGAAACCAATCAAGTAATTTGTAATTTTATTTCAATGAACTCAACGACACTGCGAGAAGATGAGCACATCGATGGGCTCGAAGGGCCTGCCGCCGTTCACCACCCTCCCGAAGACGCGGATGCGGTCGCCATACCCGCAGCCGTCGTAGAGGTAGGGCTTCGGGTAGATGATGTTCTGCTTGTACTCCCGGCTTCCGATCCTTCGGTCAAGGTTCTTGTAGAGCTCCGGGTAGTTGCCGTACTCCCGCATCTCGTGGTAGTCCTTCCGCTCCCCGGCCTTCTCGCCAATTCGGATCGGATCGGCGTTGTAGAAGTCGGGGTTCGCCTCGGTGATCAAGTTGACATTCGCTGGATTGGAGTTGAAGGCCCCGTTCCGCCTCCTCGTCCCGTCATCCTCGAACATGATGCTCTCGAAGTCGAAGTACCAGTGGACGACGTCGCCCGTGTAGGCGTGGAAGTGGCCATTCATGACGGTGGCGAAGCCCGCGACCAGGACGGACCCGATCGTGTCCCCAAAGTTCGAAGTCGCCCACGCCTGGGTCTGCGCCACCCCCTGGAAGGTAAACTGTGGGAGGTAGAACTTGAAGTTCGGGTCTCTGGCGGCGCGGGCGATGATGTTCTCCCGGCTCTCCTCGAACTGCTCCACTGTCTGCGCGTTGTAGACCGCCCGGATGAGATTCCGGGTCTCTGGGGTGATGAAGCCAAGCGTGGTCACCACGGGAGGGTAGGCCGTCTTTTGCTTGAACATCATGTTGTTGCTGGTGTTGTAAGGGATGCTGCAGCACAGCGCGAGCTCGTGCTTGTGCATGCAGTACAGCATCTTGTCGCGGTGGACCCGCTCCCTCGTGTCCTCGGTGGCCAGCATCCGCAGCACGTCCTCGGACACATGGCACTGCAGGATGTGCTTCGGCCCCGAATGCACCTGCGTGCCCGTGATCTGCCCCACACTCGCCATATCTCCCGGGATGCTGTCCCTTCAGTCTTAAATACCTTTGATTTTGCATGGATGTAAAAAGCGATGGCCTACACGAAGGTGTTGGACAGGAAGATGTCGATGGGCTCCCAGGGCTGCCCCCCGTTCACGATCCTGCCGATCACCCTCACCTTGTCCCCGTAGGCATAGTTTCTTCGGTCCCGGATCTTTCGGAAGGGCTTGATCAGCGCCACGTTCTGCTTCCCCCGGTTCGCGTCCGCGTGCGCCCCGAACATGCGCTGCTGGTAGAAGTGCTCCCTTCCGCCGATGGGGTACCGGATACGGTGGTCCATCCCAGCAGGCACGATCCGCTTCCCGTCCGGGTCGAACTCCTCCGATTCGAAGTCGAAGTACCACTGGACCAGCTCCCCGGTGTAGCAGGGGAAGTGGCCGTTCAGCACCGTCATCATCCCGCCAATCAGGACGGAGCCCACGGGGTCGCCCGTCAGGTCGCTGGCATAGGCGGTGCCGACGCTGACACCGACGAAGTCGAACTTGAAGGGGAAGAAGTGATCCACCCCATTCCTATCGTAGACGATCCCCTCGTCCTCGTTCTCGAAGGAGAGGTTCCGGTAATACAATCGGATGGCCGTCTTGTGCTCATCCAGAAGCTTGTCCCCCAGGGTGGTGATCACGGGAGGGTAGGCGTGCTTGACGAAGGTGCGCTGGAACGTCCGGTCTGCGCCCCTCACCACGTCCTCGTCCGTCATCAGCGCAACACTCAGGACGAGCTCGTCCTTCTGCATGGCGTAGCGGTACTTGTCATCGGTGAGCTGCTTCACCTGGTTCCCCAGCCGCTCAAACACCTTCCCGTTCACCTTGCAGGCGACGATGTGCTTCGCGGAGGAGTCGATGCGCGTCCCCGTGTACTGCGCGATGCTGTGCGCCATGTTTCGGGATGCAGGCATGTTCAGTGGTTTATATAGCGTTCTAAAAACAAGACAGGGACAACGCATACACCCTCACATCACTTCCATCCTATGGGCTGGATCTCGGGCGACTCCACGTTCCTGTAGTCGTTGTTCACGGCGGTGAGCCCGTAGACTCCGAGCAGCGCGGAGTTGCCCACCACCACGGTGGGGAGGACGGCCTTGCGGTAGTACTCGCTGTCTATCTCCAGGTTCCCGATGACGGTGTCGAGGGGGTGGACCTTGAAGACGTCGAGGGTGGTGTAGGACCCGTACGGGGCGCAGAAGTGGACATGCAGCTGGAAGACGCTGGGGAGGTAGTGGAAGTAGGCCATGATGTTGTGCCGCTTCCACTCGGTGTTGGCGAGGATGTACTCGGTGCACTGCACCCTCAGGCGGCGGAGCATCGGCAGGTGGCAGCCCCGCAGGTCGCGGAGGGTCTTCAGGCCCCGGTCCTTGACCACGGCCAGCCAGTTGATGGTCTTCCCGTCGTTGAGCGCGTGGGTGTCGGGGAGGAAGACGAACTCGGGGGTGTCGAGGAGGACGTTGTCCGTCTCCCGCTCGCCCCGGATCACCTCGTACACCCACTGCTTCCGCGGCATGTTCACCTGGTTGTCAATGAAGGACTGCATCTCCTCGCTGAAGGCGTGGGAGGGCTTGCAGGTCACCACGCAGCGCTCGTAGCTGCCGCTCCCGCGCTCCTTGGGTTTGAAGGGACAGTCGGGTGTATCCACCTCGTCTTTGATCCTCATAAATTGCTCTGCCTCCATGTCAATCCAACCCCAAACTCGACCGAAATCCTCAAGGCATGGTTAAATAAAGGGAGGGAGGCAGACTCTTCGTTTCGGAGCACACGGAAAACACGGCTTGCACTTGAAAGAACGGCTTGCTTTATTCATAGCACACTACTCCGAATCTTCCTGCTTATCCTCTACACGATGCTTCCGCTCGTCCTCGTACTTCTGCCACTTGCTGCTCATGATGGTGATCTGCGCCTTGGAGACGTTGAGGCGCTCCTGCAGGGCGTCCTGCCTCTGCTGCAGCACCTCGTCGGTGAGCCTGGAGAAGGGGCGGCGCGGCTTTGACGGCTTGGCGGTCGCGGCGCGCTTGGTCACCCCCTTGCTCTCGGACTTCTTGGCGCGGCCCTTGCTCGACTTCTTGGCCTTCACCTCGACGTCCTGCATCTCAGAGTCCATCGCCTGCTCTACGTGCTCGAGGATTTCGTCTTCGGTCATGACAACTCTCGTCCAGACCTGGGGAGTAGCTCCTGAAGTGCGCCCAGCTATACGCCGGGAGCTACTTTTTTTTCTCTCTCTCTCCAAAAAACGGGACACAGGAGCAAGGGGGGAGACAGGAAACGTTCCCTGCGAAATGGACGACCACTTCATTTACCCATCCCAAGCGACCTACCCCCACGGCGCGACGATGTGCACCCCGGCCTGCTACCTCCTCGCCTGCGGCATGCTGGGGGACTACGGCGTCCGCATCCCGCCCACCCGCGCGCAGATGGACGTCATCATGACGGTCGCCAGCCGGACGCAGAAGATCCTCATCGAGGGCAGCAACCAGCAGGAACGGCTCTTCTCTGTCTACCACGTCTTGGAAGCCATCGAGTCCCCAACGGGAGTGGGGGCGACCGAGGTGATGGGGACCGTCGACGCGCTGCCCGAGGGCTTCATCCAGGGCTTCGAGGACGATGGCGACCGCGGCTGCATCATCCGTGACCTCGGAACCGCCGTCCGCTCCCTGCGGCCCAACCAGGCCCTCCTCGTCACCGCCCACCACCACACGACGGCGCTGCTCAGGCCCGCCGGGGAGGACAGCGCCTTGTGGCACTTCGACCCGATGGTCGCAAGGCTGCTCCGCCTCCGGAACCCGGAGGAGGCGCTGCAGCTCATAACCACGACCATCCCTTCCAAGGAATACGCGGGACTACTAGTTTACCAAAAAGGAGATGCAAGAAGTACACCAGGCTCTTTGTCTACAGGAAGGCTGAGATGAGGGGTGGACCGATACTTTAAGATTTTAATTTTTTACTGGCTACAACGGGATACACGGGAGAAGGTTCTTATTCAAGCATCATCTCCCACAGGTCCATGTTGAAAAGGCGACACGCCGCTTCGAGGTCAGCAATCCTAACAATGTTTTCTTCATTAGGAAGCGCATCACGCTCGCTGATTTCTTTCACCCGCGCACGGAGATCATCCGGCACAAAACTCAGCATGCCCAAGGCTTCGGGCGTCCAGTTCTTAGATAGATACAAGGTAGTGATATCCATGTGTAGGATGACGATACGGACACGTATGCTTTAAATACAACAGAACGACTTATCCCGCAAACGGCCTCGGCATCAGCCCTATGGTGTTGCCCTCCACCCTCCAGCGGTTGCCGAGCTCCACGGCGATGGACCTTCCCTGGAACGCCTCCGTGACGCAGGGCGCGGAGAAGGAGAACTTCATGTTCAGCTCCGCGCCCACGGTCGACACCTCCAGCCCGCTCGGGTCGTAGTTCTTGGCCATCGAGCCCTGCACGCAGCGGATGTAGGGCCTGCGGCGGGACATGGCCAGGCCGACCCACGCCTCCGCCTCCCCGACCTCCGCCGCCGTCATCTCCCGCCGCAGCTCGTCGTTGAGCTGCTGCAGGTGCACCTCCGACTTGAGGTAGGCGCCGTTGTGCTTGCCCGTCAGCCTCCGCGCTTCGTCCGAGAGCGGCTCGGGGCGCATCCGCAGCACCTCCCGCAGGACCTGGTTCTCCAGGTGCTTGGCACTAACCTGCTTGGCATGGCGGAGGAGGTTGGCCGCCTGCGCGCAGACCAGGTCGTAGCGGTTGCTGCCCTTCCTCGTGTCGATCTGGTTCAACTCCGCGGTGTGGACGTGGGTCGACCAGCCCGCCGGCACCTCGCCTCCCGCCATCTTCACCACCGTGCAGCACAGGGCGTCGTTGGAGGACGGGCCGACGGGGAGGAGGACCGAGTCGAGCGTGTAGGTCTCCGCGCCCCTCCGCGCCGTGATGCAGTGGCGGACGATGTCCAGGCCGACCCTCTCCATGAGCCCGGACACGGCCCTGCAAGCCCGCGCCTGTGCCGCCCACTCCAACTCGTGCGAGCTGTTGCCGCGCACCATGCTCCTCGCGCAGACCATGCAGGGGCCGATCTTGGACTGGACCTCCCACGGGCCGAAGCGGTCCCCGGCCCTCGCCACCTCCGCAAAGATCAGCGCGCCCATGAGGTTGTTGGGCACGGGCTCCTCTCTCCCTTCTGTCTTCTGGATCTCCTCACCCTCCGAAATCCCGCGCAGGTGCCGCTGCATGGCGCTCCTCACTTCTTCGTGCTCTCCGAACAGACTGCTTCCGGGCGCCAGGAGACGGGAGAGCATCGCTCCGCTCGAGGCAAAGTCGTCCCGGCCCGGCACCCCGACAGGGAGCTTCATCATCGCGGAGCCCAGCACCCTCCCGCATCCGTCCGCCCCGCTCAGCGTCAGCGTGCTCCGGACCAGGGTATGGCAGTCATCCGCCCCAAGAATCCGTGTCCGCGGCTGCATTCCTCCCTCCGCAATCTCGTTCACGGTTGTCACGATGGCCTCGCTCTCGAAACGGTGAAGGTTATCCAGCTCGCCCACGTGCTTGTGGCGCTCTACCTGCTTCGAAGACTGCCTGTACGACATCCGGTCCACAGCAACCATGCGGCGCGGCTCCCACGTCCGTCCTAAATACGCTCAGCCCGCCACAGTAGTTCGCCCCACCGCGCGGAGGCGCTCGTACGAGGATGGCAGGGGGGGCCGGCACAGGAGAAGGCAGAGGAGGAAAATGGCGGCCCCTGCGAGGAGGATGACGACAACAAATCCTCCTCTGAATCTCCCCTTCACAGGCTCCACCCGCACCGTCATCTCCCGCACGTAGATGTCCATCCCCCACAGCCCGCGCACCTCCGTACTGTTCACCATCGCCACCCCGGACTGGAAGATCGAGTTCACCACGTCCCCAAGCGTCAACCCCTGCGAGTCGAGGTAGACGACCACCTCCAGCGCCAGCGCGTTGATCGGCGGGGGAGCGGAGAGCTGCCTTCTCGAGTGCGTCGACCCCCCTCCAACCGACATGGACACCCTCCCGGACCTCCTTGCGACGGGGTAGACCCCGATGTCCACCGTCGACTCCTGGTCAAAGACCCCCATGCTCTGCAGCCAGCTAGGGAAAGCGTACGGCTCCGACCGCTCATCCCGCAGGAACACCGTCTGCAGGCCGTCTATGGCAGTCCCGGGAAATTTCCTCTCATAAAGCGACCGCAGCGTCTGCATATAGACGCGCCACTCCCGGGCATACTTGGTGTCGCGCAGCTCCGCCACCGCCCGCACCCCCACCGCCCGGCCCGCGATCCCCGCCGCCTCCCGCGCGAGCCCCGCGCTCAGGTTGGCCGCCAGAGAGTCCAGCCAACGCGGCACAGAGGGTGCGGAGTCCATCGTCAGGTTCTGCGGCACGACCGCCTGCCCCAGCTCCAGCGATAGCTCCGTCGTGTTCATCAGCAGCCACAGGCTGTACCCCACCGCGATGCCGTCTGGGGGCGGGACCGCACACACCGCCTCCGGCACCGAGCCGTACCCCTCCCTCCGCTCCACCTCCAGAGCGTGCAGCGGGTAGCTGTAGTAGCCGATGTCGCAGAACCACTCGCACACCCGCTCCTCCGAACCCGGGGACTTGTACCTGGCCAGCCAGAACGAGTGCTCGGGCTTGGGCTGCTGCAGATCCACGCAATCCCTTACATCCTGGTAGGACCGCTTGTACAGGTCGTCGATGTCCCGGAGCAGCACCGCCTGGTACGGGACCCACGCCAGGTTCAGAAGGCCCTCCCCGCCGCCCCCCTGGAACACCGCCGCGAACCTCAGATCAATCACATACTTGTCGTTCTCGTCCAGATATTCTTTGCCGTATCTTTGCGCCTCTTCGTGCGGGATGTAGAGCGTCCCTGTCTGGAAGTCAAAGGCAATGTGCGAGGATGGCCGGATCCCGCCGTAGGAGGACAGCAAGGGACCCGCCAGCACAGCCGCCCACTCTCCAACGTGCTCCTCGCAGTCTGCAATTCCGGACAGCGCAGAATACAGCGCGTCGTTGAAGTACACGGTGGAATTCAGGAAGTCGCCGTAACAGCAATACCCTCTGGTCACCCCGCACCACGGCGCCACCTCACTGAAGAAATTCAGGCTCGGCCCCGTCGGCGAGCGCTGGTCAAGGAGGAAAGGCACGTACGGAGTGGCACCAGAGCCGCTCTCGAACGTCAAGTGGATCGACCAGACCCTGCTCGTGTAATTGTACTCCACGCTCGCGGCCGAGTGCAGCGTCGCCGTGCTCATCACGTTGACGCCCCCCAGCGTGGGTATGAAGCCCTGCGGACGGACCCCCACGGGCAGCTGACAGAGGGCCAACGCACAGAATAACCAAGACACGCGATTCATCCTTTTGAAGAAAACCTTCGAAGAACCCCTTTATACGAGGCCAAAACACACAGGTATTATTATCTACGTGATTTACTCACATACAAGAAAGGGGACTACCATCGATCCTACTTGCTCAGTTTTGCTTGGGCTTCCCGAAGTCTTGCCGGAACCATCCTAAATCGCTGCTCTAACTCATACCTTCGATGCATAGAAGGAACCATAACCATCGCCACAGCTGCTAAGACGCTGTAAGGAAGCATAGGGTCGTATAATGCACGGGGAACATTCCAGTCAAAGCCCATATTTTCTTTGGTGCGCCATGTTTGGTTACGCCAGAAGGTGTGGTTTACCGGGCAGAATTCCGGGGAATGGTATTGAACACGGTGGTCCTTATTCGGCATGACATACATACTGAACGCTAAGGTGTGGTTTGCCGGGCAGAACCCCATGGGAGGCTGCGCGTAGCGGTCCTGTTTTGGTATGGGATTGCCGCCGGGCTCGAAGAAGCCAGGGATATACATGCTCAGCGCAGAGTAGACGAGCATGGCCTTCGAGCCACCGAGTCCAGCGCCGAGGACCTTGACGGTGGACTTCATAAAGTTTACCTTCCACCTCAGGCTCCACGGCTGGGCCAGTCCCATGTATCCCGGGATGAACATCGCCAGAACGGACAGCAAGAGCATCATCCTCGCGGGGGTGATGCGGGGCATGGAGCCCTTGAGATCGGGCCAAGAAGGCATGGAATCCTTGAGCCTGGCCCAGAATGGCTCCTGCTGGATGGCATCCAGAATGATCTCTTCATGGTTATTCTCTAGAATCACTGGACGATCAAACCTCTGATCTGATGAACTGTTGAATGCAGGAAGCAGGTTCCGACGCACGGAGGACATGCTCGAAGATGCAGACGCACTGCGGAGTTGCCTGTATTCCTCGGTGGGTGGCCCAGAGAAATTTGTTACTGCAGAGCTGCTTGCAGACTCGGGAGGTGCAATTATATCAGAAACAACTGGCTGCGGTTCCACACTTGTTTCTGCACTGGACCTTAACTTCTTGTTCGACCCGTTATTTTGTGAACTGGGCCTTTTCCTCTTCATTGCCTGTGAAGGGTGATCCGGATCCTTGTTTGTAATACGTTTCGGCATAAGAGATGATGGCATATCAAACCAGGCCAACCCCACGTCGCTTAAATACACGCCACCCCGACACGTTCAAGCCAACCCCGCCTCCTCCAGGCGGATCTTGTAGGCGTGGATGCAAACGTTGAGCCAGTAGGGGCGGCGGGCAAGGTCTTCTAAGCCAACATCCAGGTGCTTCTTAAACTCATCCGGAGCTCCAGAGGCCCAGTCGGGGCTGTCCATCTTGGTCAGCCGGCACAGCGCGAGGAAGTGGTCGGCGGCGGCGGTGTTGACGGGGTGGGAAGGGTGGATGTCGGCCATGGGGGCAAAGCGCAGGTCGATCTCCTCGTGCATCGCGTACACCTTGGCAAGGTCGCGGAGATACCGGCACATCTCCTGGTACACCCGCTCCTTGGATGCGTCCGACCACTCCCAGGGCGGGAGCTCGGGGGAGCAACCCGTGTCGATGTCCTTCAATGCAGCCCTGAGCCTTCGTAGCAGATCCAGTTTCTTCCTCTTCATGGCATCCCTCTCCTCGTCGCTGAACGCCGCCGAGCTGTAGATCGACTGGCGGATCATCTCAAACAGCAGATCGAAGCCGTTCGTCACGCGGTCACCCCCGCTCTCCTCGTGGAGCGTCAGGACCGGCAGCGGCGCGCACTCCTGGCTCGCGATGAAGAAACTGATGAACTCCTCCAGACTGTTCCAGGACATACTTAGGAAAAATCAGCAACCCGCCACCCACCTTGCCCGTTCCTATCTTTTTTTCCAAATCATATTTAAATCGGACAACACAGCATCAGACACCGAAAACGACAATGTTCACTTACAACATTCCTATTGGAGGGTATACCTGGGGAGGTTATGGCAAGCGTAAGAGAACCGAAGTCCCGCTCACACCCAAGATGAACGACAAAGGCGAATTGCACTTTCGCTACGAGTGGAAATCTGAGCACTTCAAGATGAATTACGAAGACCGCATCCCGTGCAACATAAGGGTCAAATTCTTTGACAATCACATTCACATTCTCGAGGTCCAGCTTGCCCAACACACCCGCCTTGCCAACGCTACAGGCAATCATTTATTTGCCAACGATACCAGCAAACGGATGCAACAAGAGATCAAACGCTTTGAGGATGACAGCAAGAATGAGAAATTCTTTTACTAGACAGCGTCATATTCGACTCTTTGGTAGACCTACCCTTTCTAGATCTTAGAATAAATGGCCCTTAATCGTTATCCTCGGCATCCCTTCCTCGATTCGTACTCCGGCGCATTAGCCTTGCCCAGGCGTAGAACCTGACGAGGCCCTTCTTCAGTATTGGCTGCTTCTCGATGTCGTAGGTATCGGACAGGTCGGTGACGCGCACGACGGCCTCCTTGTAGGTCGCCTGGAGCACTTCCGACAGATTCCCGATGGGGTAGGACAGGAAGCACCCCCCCGAGGCCCTCACCTTGGCGGAGAGAGGGCCGCGGAGCATCTGCTGCATCTGGCCGCAGTTCTGGTCGACATGGTAGCCGCTCACGAAGCAATCATGGCTGATGCAGGCGTACATCACCGCGCCCTTGAGCCAAGCCGCGTCGGCGACGCAACTCCTCCTCGCCTGCATGTTCTCGAACTGCGAGATGCGGGATAGCGACGAGAACAGCGGACCCATCAGCCTCACCCTTCCCTCCCGCACCTCCCGCACAAGGCCATCCAATCTCTCCTTGACATCCAGTGTATGGGGGATGTGGCGCACGCTTCGGAGGACGGAGACGATGGGACCCTTCTCCCCCAGCCACTCCCGATGCCTCCCCTGCGTGTCCCGCAGGAAGTAACCCAGGTTATCCACTAGCAAGGCTATATCCTCCCGCGATTTCCAGACGACATCAGGGGCTTCGTCCACCCGCCTATGCAACAGGTCCCCATCCACCCACTCACAGCCGAACGGAAGCTGCAGGAATCCCTCCCTGTCACGGCGAAAGCGCGGGTTGCTGCCCCCACCCCGCTCCGTCGCAAACAGCGAGGCGCGGGAGATGTTCTCGACGATCGCCCACCGCGCCTGACTCTTTGCCAGCCTTGCGCAGGCGAAGTAGACATGCCACCCTCCCCCGGTGAAGCACACCAGCACGTGGCGCTCGGTCGCCTCCGCGGGCATGAAGCGCCGCAGCACCGCGTTCGCGAGGAGGCAGGTCATGAACGCCTGCTGCTTCCAGAAGGGCTCCACGCTCATCGCCGAGTCGATGTCCAGGCTCAGCACGCGGAAGGCGGGCGCGAAGCCGTGGGTCATGATCCGCTCCCGGTGGATGGGTTGGTTGTACTCACAGCCGAAGTGGAAGCTCCTGAGAGGGTCGAGGTACTTCCGGACGAAGGCCTTCAGGTCCGCCACTTCCACCTTCCGTATCTTCGACCTGTCTGTCTCCAGCATCACGTCCGCGCAGGTGACATTGCCCCGGAAGAACGTCTGCTGCACCACCCCGAAGAAGGGGGTCGAGAGGAGGCAGCGGTACAGCACACGGAGGCCGTGCTCGACGGGGTCCGCTGGGATAGAGGCGCTAGCAATGACTGAAGACTTTTCGGTGGGTATGATGAAGGCCTTCTCCTCCTCGGGATACTCCTGGAGGGGCTCGGCGGGAAGGTCGAGCGGATGGAGTGCATTCATCCTTTGGCAGGATGGTGCAAATGCAGGGAGATGGCTACATGGAGGCAATTAAAAAGACAGACCAGGGGAGTTTTTTTTTCGATAAGACATTTTATTTTTTTTTTTCGATGTCATTTTTTTTGACGGGGAGTTTTTTTTTCTAGATGGGTCAATAAAAAGCCGACGAACCCGGAACCACCCAGAAAACCATGGCCACGACCTGCATAGACCTGTGGAATCATGATATGAACGTCTTGAACCACTACAGTGATATTCTGAACAAGAATAACGAATTGGAAGATCCCTACGCGAGGGAGGCACTGAGAATCGAGAAGAGGATTGCCAGAAACAACATCCCCATCCCCCTTTACCGCATGCTGGTAAACGCGATCAACAACTTTCCAATGCTGAAGTACCACGTGAGGGCGAGCATCGAGAAGCTAGAGAAGATCCACGACTGTCTTTACCACATCAAGTATGAAGGAACCGAAAGGGACTGCATGAGGCGATCCGCCGAGATGATCCTGGAACTCTACGCCAAGCTAGGTTGGGAGGATCTTCAGGCGCAGTCCTATTTATCCGAATATAAAAAAAGGCTCTGAATCATGGACCGCCCCATGGCCTTCCTCGCCTACACCCAGTGCTACACCACCTTGCACGTCCACGGCAAGGGTCCAAGCTTCAAAGGGGTGCCAACCCCGGGGGCGTTGAACCTCTACATCAACGAGGTGGCGGACCACATCACGAATCCGCAGGTGGTTGCATCCACGGACTCAGAGACCTGGGTCCAGCTCAATCGTGATCGCCTGGCCTCCGCCCAATGGATCCTGACGCCGCGCCACCCCTACATCGGCGGCAACGAGCAGAGCATCATCGACTTCAGGGACATCGCCCCGCTCCGCCACAGGGCCAACGTCGCCTGCTACAAGATCGTGGGGAGCTACGCCAGGACCGTCACCAGCGCCCTCCGCCACATCCTCACCCAGAATTCGCAGATCAAGACTGTCATACTGGAGGGCATCGGCATGGCTCCCGGGTACCACCGAAAGTTCAACAGCAAGAATCCCAGAGACGTCTTCCCCAGGGAAGCGGCCAGGCGAGTCCGCGAGGAGGTGGAGGGAGAACTATTGAGATACGATGTCAATTACGAGTTCCGGTGAGCCGCTTATTTAAATGCGGCGGAGAAGTTCACACCACGCCAAAGCACTTCAAAGATGTCCATGTCCATCAAACGCACGCTCGACGGTATTATTTCCGCATTCAGCATGTTTAAGTTCGAGCTCATTTGCTTCAAAAAGGAAAATCGTTTCCATGCCATGTTGAACGACACCTGTGACAACATCGTCAAGATCGACGAAACAGCCACCCCACAGGAGATCCACAGCAAACTGGCTGCGGAAGTCGCCAGCATCAAGAAGGTGATGGATGAGATCGAGACCATGAACTTGCATATCAGCTCGCTGATTGACTTATTGAGCAACTAAGAGTGAAAGGTCTACTTCTAGTCCCGAGCTGCATAACTGTTGCAATAAAGTTCGTTTATTAATAATTCCCGTGTGTCAAAAAAAACAGAACAAAAAAAAAACAGCGGCCTATAATCGCGTGCGGCGCTTCCCCGCGCCCCTCCGCCTCCAGAGATGCCCATCACAAGCCGCCCCTGCTTCCACAACAGCTGCCCGACGCTGCTGAAGTGCTACTGCCTGGCCTTCTACTACATTCCCACCCTAGTCGAGGTGGGGGGCTTCCACTTCGACAAGAGCCCCGCCCAGAGCTACCGCCTCACGGTAGCGCAGGCCTTCCTCTTCCCGGCCGTCACGCTCTTCCACCTGGTGGCGTGCTTCCTACCCAGCCTGGTCTACACCTCGGGGGCCGACGGGAAGACCCTGGAGTACGTCATGCACTTCCTGGAGGCGTGGGTGGTGTACACCGCGCTGCTCGTCCGCCTGGTCACCCTGGAGCCCAGCCTGGTGGTGCTGCTCGGCTGCTTCTGCAACGTCCACATGCTCTACACCATGGCGACCACGCTGGATGGCATCGGCAGGAGGGTCATCGTCGGTGGGAGCATCGCGCGCACGGCAACAGAGCTGCTCATCCTCGTTCTCCCGGTCGCGCTAACCTTCGTCGGAGGGCACGTCAGGACACACCCCAAGGATCTCGTCCTCGTCGTCTTCACCCCGGAGCTCTACGGGATCGTCGTCGACGTATTCAACTCTGTATGTGACGGTATCCTGCGCGCCTTCACAGCCGCACCCTAGGGTATATAAAACGCTCCCACGGTGTAATTCTCTAGAAGATGAAGACAGTAACCATGCTCGCCGCCGCCCTCGTCGGACTCACACCGCTCCCGCTCTCGTACTCCTTCCAGACGCTCGGCACTCACCCCTCTCACCTGTCCGCCCCCTCCCTCCCTGTGCTCACCGCCCCTTCCCTCCCGGCCCTCACCCAACCGCTTTTTCAGCGCGTGCCTGTCTCTCAAACTCCCCTCCCGCTTCCCGTCCCTGAAGTTCCAGAGACGCTCACTCCCATCCTGCCAGTGGAAGAGACGGGAACAGCAGGGGAAGAAGGAGCGGGAAACGAAGCAGCGAGTCCCGCGGTCACTCCCGAAGACGTCCAGCAGACGCCGGGAAGGTCAGAGGAGGCAATCGAAAGAGAGGAATAAAAAAGACTATTCATAAAAACCCTAAAGATTCACAAAACTGACCCTGTCCTTCTTCATCAGACTCTCGCGCAGTCCCTTCATCGCGCACTTGTTCATCTGGTGAACAGCGATGATCTTCCCGCCCAGTGTCACCTGGTAGCGCTGCGCCTGGTTCTGCCCCACCCAGGCGGCGACCTCCGCGGCCTTACTAGGAGCAAGGACATAGCTAATCGGGATGGTGTCAGGGCCGTAGAGGCAGCGTCCCAGAGGGCGGTCGAGCTTCTTCCCGATCAGGGCGGTGCTGCTCTCGATCGGGGGCAGCGCGTAGCGCGCCATCAGCAGGGTCTCCTTTTTCTCCTCCTCCGTAAAGTCGATTTTGATACCGCGCAGGGAGGGGTCGGAGGTGCTTACCGCCTCGGAGATCGGCACCCCCGCGACGGAGTTCTTCACCAGTATTGTGTCCCCGATCGTCGACACCACGTGCCAGAAGATGCCGTCCAGCTTCCCGATGTGCATCCAGGGCTTCATCTCCCGCGACGGCGCCATGAGCATCGTGCACTGATTGTAGAAGGCAGCCTCCGTCAGCGGGGTGGGCGGTCCTCCCGCCGCCTGGATCTTCTGCGACACGTAGGCACTCGGCTGCCCAACCACCTCGCCCCGCCCCGCGAAGCTCTCGATCCTTACCGCCGTCGTCAGCTCCGTCAGGATGCGGTCGTAGCTGCTCTGGTCGTTTTCGGCAGAGGAGGAGACGACGGCGCTGCTCGGAATACTCTTGACGCTCGAATTCCCGCGGACGATCATTGCCGCGCAGTGGCCCGCGGGGTGCATGTTCATCGGCTTGCCCGACGCCGACATCTTCGCCGCCTTGGCCGTCATCAGCACCGCCCGCATGGAGGTGTCATGGATGTGCTCCCCAAACTCCCCGCACTGCCGCAGCACGCCCCGGAGCTCGTCGTCCGTCCACTCCTTTAGCTCGGGCTGCCCGCGGAGTGACTCGAGCACCACACCCGCGAACTTCTCCGGCTCCATGCGTTCGAGGTCGGGGTACTCGTCGTAGATCACCCCGCACTTGCTACTCAGCCTCACGCAGAAGCGGCGCATGTAGCTGAACTGAAGGATCGCCATGTGAGCCAGGTCCTCGCAGTCCCCGTGGCGCAGGCCCTCGATGTAGCCCCGGCGCTTCTTGTCCAGGTGGTTGAAGAGCGACTCCCCGGGGGTGCGATTCTTGATCCTGGCTCCGATAGAAGCTCCAAAAGCATCCCCCGCCCGCGCAGACCTCAGGTAGATATCCGAGAACGGCACCATGATGTCCTCGCTCATCGCGTAGGAGGGCACCTTCTCCTGCTCTTCACTATCTTCGTACACCTCGATGACGTAACCATCCCCCTCCTCCCTCTCGATGATTGGCTTCAGGTCCCGCGGCGTCTTCTCCGCCAATACGGGCTTGACGTCGCTGGCGTAGGTGAAGTCCGAGGCAAACAGCCCGCCGACGTTGGCCAGGCAGTCGGCCGCTGACCTCGCGTCGATGCGGTCGTGGAACGACAGCCCCGTCATCCGGAACAGGGACGAGGTGATGCCAAAGGCGTCGAGCGCCGTCGTCCTCGAGAGCCGGATCTTCTCCTGCATGATCACATCCATGTTCGTCAACAGATCCACGAGCGTGTTCCCGATGCTGCTCACAAACGACCCGGTCATCACCCCCTCCGGGTGCCGCTTGATCCCGCGCTGCAGCAGCTCCGCGTAGAAGCGTTGTGAGATCAGGTTCTGCCGCATGTTGTAGCGGTGGATGCGGTCCTGGCCCATGGGGATGAGCGTCTCCTCCATCGCACCAAAGGCCCGCAGCGCCGCCCGGTTCATCTCCCGGAACCTCCCCCGCATCCCCTCCGGCAGCGGCACCGCCTGCACCTTCAGCTCGACGTCGGGCTGGACAGGGTCGTACCCGATGCTCATCAGCGCGCTCCTGGGCTTATCCTCTTCGACGCTCCCGACGTCCCCGCAGGACACTTCCAGCAGGCCACGCAGCGGCACCCTCCCCGTCCCGACATGGATGTCCTTGGAGTTCGGCGGGGCGCCCATCATCGCCAGCTGTTCCGGAGAAGGACCGGGCGCCACCGCCATCAGCTGCAGGTCTCTGACCTCCGCCTCCGCCAGGTCTCCCGACACCACGAACAGCCCCTCCCCCAGCGGCACCGCCGAGTACGAGTTCCGGCAGCCCACCCATGCCATCGCGTGCTCAATGATGTCGTGCTCCACGCCCTTCCTCTCACACACTATGCGCACCGCTCCGACGAAGGGCATCTTTGCCCCCTTCACGTTCAAGATTTCGTCCTTCAAGTCACTCCCTGCCGCACCCGACAACCTCGCACGCACGCGGACCCTGGCCGACATCTTGGGTGCTAGGCAAACAAGCGATTTATATACATGCATAGAAGGGGTGGTGGGGGCGATGGAGACAAAACATCCTTGCTTTATTCCAAAACACTAGCACTCATCCTCGTGATCCTTCCTCTTCCTCCCCGTCTCGGGCTCCCTTGCCTCCACCTGCGGCACGCGGTACGATAGCATGCCACTAACGAAGGAGACCACGCCAAGGTTATGCGGAAGGACACAACCCGAGGGAGGAGAGGAACGGTACCCACGGGCCCAGGCCAGCGCGCTCCCGCGAAACTCCTTCCAGCTCCCGGCCTCCAGCGCAGCGCAAGGCACTCCCTCCGCCTCTGCCAGCGCCTCCGCCCTTACCCTCCGCTCTACCTCGTGCAGCGCTTCGGGCATATACTGCGGATCGGCGATGCCCACGCAGCACACCTCCAGGGTGGTGTCAGGCGCCGTCGACGGGGCTCCCGAGCTCATCACACCCGAATGTTGCATCTTCGTCCTCCTCGCCATCCCATTCACTGCCATCACGTTTAATACATACCCGCACGCTGCTATCCCATTTCGTCCACCCCAGCGCTTTCCGCACGATGTAGGCGGTGTTGGGATGGCGGAAGACCGGAGAGCTATTGTTGACGTCCCTGAACCAGCGCAGCACCACCCTCCGGATGAACGAGTTCACCTCACCGCCGCACTCCTCCAGCGCCTGACGCAGGTGCTCGGGCAGCACAGCGGCGCGGTAGTAGTTCACCACCCGCTCCTTCCCCACTACCCTCTCATCAAGGAGGCAGGAAAGAAGCCTCCGCATGTTCCGCATGTCTGGGCACGCCACCTCCCCGGGAGCAAGGGAGAAGCAGATCAGCCGGTCGATCAGGAGGTACACCTTCCGCTTCCCCACGCTCTGCTCTGCGTGCTCGTTGCTCGGCACCGACCTCCGTATCCAGTTGATGCAGGCCGTGCAGGCCGTCAAGCGGTAGTTGGGATCCTTCCTCGCCCCCGCCACCTCTCTCACCGAAGCCCAAACATACGGCGTCTCCCGCCAGCGGTTGTCTAACATGCACTGAAAGGTCCGCGCCGTCTTGCTCCGACGACCATCCCCCGTTCCGAGAAGAACCCCACACATCACACACACCTCATGGGAACGGAAGCTCTCCCCCGTCAGTGAGCTCACCACCCGCATCGGCTGCTCCTTCCCCTCCATGGCGGCAGGGAGCGGCGGCGCGGGAGTCGACGGGCTTGAACGCGGGAAGCAAGAAAAACAAAAAAAAACAGGGGTGGTTTACCACCCCTACTCCCTGTGAATGGGATATTTGGGGGTGGGGTACTCACTGGTACTAAATTAAGTAATTATATAATACTTATACAGCCAGGCCTCCCAGGGAAGGCCCCCCCCCTGGCCAGAATCTGGAAACCGTTAAACCGTTAAACCGTTAAGATTAACGGTCGTATATATATAATATATATATATAATATACATATATAATATACATACTATATATATTACTTAATGTATATAGTACTAATTAGTACTCTGTGATTCTCTGTTACGCTCTATGTATTAGTACTATATAGTACTAATGTATATAGTGTAACAGGGTTTAACACAGTACTAATTAGTACTATACATATTAAGTAACATATATAGTATGTATATTATATATGTATATTATATATGTATATACATATATAGAACCGTTGAAATTAACGGTTTAACGGTTTAACGGTTTCCAAATTCTGGCCAGGGGGGGGGGCCTTCCCTGGGAGGCCTGGCTGTATAAGTATTATATAATTACTTAATTTAGTACCAGTGAGTACCCCACCCTCTCCTTCCCCTCTAACCACCCTACCCCCATCTAAGCATCCAAAAATATGTCCAAGGCACTCGCTCGCCAATGTTCGCTGGGAGCAAGCGATGTGAAGATATGAACCTGGTGGAGGTAGCCACAATGACGGTCATCACTGGTCTATTCATTACTGCTCTGCTTACCGGTGAGGGCAACGAGACTGTGGCAGCGGTGAGCTACCTGCAGTGGCTTCTGTCGATGGTGATGTTTTTGGCGCTGAGTGTCGAGCGGGACGAGCATAACGAGAGGATCACTAGCGTGTACGAGTCGGTAGGGAGGATGTCCACGCTTCTGGTGGAGCAGCTGGCGAGGATATTCCATGATATCGACGCTATGCTGAAGAGGGAGGAGCTGAGCAGGGAGGATGCGCTGCTGAAGGTGCGGCAGGAACTCTGCTCCGTCATGCAGATGGTGATCTCCGAGCCCCACCGGACGAGCTTCGCCCTGCCGCAGCCCGTCGACTTCATGCTCGACGAGTTCGTCGCCCAGAGGGTGCAGGAGAGGGTGGCGCAGGAGATGGATAATGTTTAATGAAAAAAAAAACAAGAGCTTTACCTCCTCGGTCACAAAACTTCTTTCTCCTGGACCTTATCCCATGCATGAAAGAATCGCCATCTGCGGGAGGATGTGCGCGGGGAAGACGACCCTGGCGTCCAACCTCGAGTGGGACCATGGCTTCAAGAGGCTGAGCTTCGCTGAGCCCATCAAGCGCTACGCAGGGGAGATCTTTGGCATGACGGGCAAGGACCGTGCGCTGATCCAGGATTTTGGGCAGAAGATGCGGGAGATCGACAACCGAGTGTGGATCAAGCTGATGGAGCGGAAGCTTGACTCTCATCCCGATCAGAGGGTGGTGATCGACGATGTGAGGTTCTGGGATGAATTCCTGATGCTCCGGGACCGGAAGTTCTTACTGGTAAGGTTGGACGTCGGGAAGGAGGAGCAGCTCAGTAGAATTAGGAAGGTCTACGGGGACAAGGCAGAGAGTCACATTCAGCGGCTCCAGCACGAGTCGGAGGGCTACGTCGATGAATTCCCCGTTGACCTAACTTTTTCGAGCTGTAGCGATGCTCTACACTACCTTTGCACTCCCTGATTCGCAGGCGAGGTCTGTATGTAAATAAATATGCTCGTGCTTAAGATATGGGTACCAAAGGCACTTCTACTCTCTTTTCCTCTTCCAAATCTTCCTTGGGATTATCTGCGTATACCATGCTGGAAGTGACCTGCGGGACTTCAACCATGGTCTGTTTCCGGGATGGAGCCTGCAGCGCGGAGGGGAGGAGGTAGGAGGCGGTGTCATCCTCGTCGATCTCAAGGAGGGCCTTGAGCTCCTCTTCGAGTTCTGCGTCGTCGAGGTCCTCCTCCCTCCCGAGGCGGGACGACATGAGGTCGGACATCTCCTTGGCGTCGAGGTGGGAGTCTTCGAGGTCGGACATGAGGGTGTCGACGTCGTCGATCTGCTTGTGTATCCCGAGGCTCTTCATGGCGGTGGCCGTTTGCTTCACGGTGGTGATGAGCGTCTGGTCGATCTCCGTGTTGTTCAGGACGTCGAGGTGGTGTTCGAATGACTCGCGCTTGCGTACGATCTGGGTGAGGCGGACGCGCTTCTGCTTGCACTTGAGGAGGAGGGGCTTCAGGGCCTTCATGCCGGCCGAGCGCTTGCCCTTGATCTGCTGCGTGAGGGCGGACAGCTCGCTGCCGAGCGCGTCCTCCTGGCCCCGCAGGTGGTCGATGCTGACGACCAGGCCGTTGATGGCCTGCGCGGTGACGGCCTCCTCGTCCCTGTACAACCCCGTCAGGCGTAGGACGCGTATCCACCCGGAGGCGAAGACGCCGATGCAGCCTGGCATCCCTTAAAAAGGGGGTTGTGTATTGCGAGGGAGCGGCCGGCCCGAGCCTATATAAATTCAGCTCAGGTGCCTGATCAAACGTATATGTCAGGCTCTGCGCAGGTTGCATCCTCGGTGGATCTCCGGGCGAGGTGGGGCGCTTTCGAGTCGGCGTGGGGCAAGCACAGGGACATGGCAGGGCTGTTCTCTCGCGGGGGGCTGCCCTCCAACACGGCGAGCAAGCTGAACCGGGAGGGGGTGGCAGCGTCCTGCACTCCCGCGGTGCAGGTCCTGGAGCCGGAGTCCCCGTTCGCGCTGTACGGGGTGACGATCAAGGCGTGCGGGGAGAGGAGGCCCTCCTTGCAGGTGGCGGGCAGGGCGTCCTCCGTGTTGAAGACCAACTCGTTCGTCTCGGGCTCTCTGCTCGAGCAGGACGCCGCGGACGTGATGGGGTCCTACGGGGAGCTGGGCAAGGCTTGGCGGTACGCCTCTAGGGCCATCCAGGCCCAGAGCCCCGAGGCCAGCGTGGTGCTCTCCTTCTGCTGCGACAAGGCGGCGACCGTGGGGACCAGCACCCGCTTCGCCTCCGTGCAGGTGCACAAGGGCGTGTGGAGCATCCCGGAGGGCTGCGAGCAGGGGTCGCTGAGGGTGCGGAGGTCGACGGTCTCGCTCGACGGCACCGTGCTGGCGGAGACGGTGAACGTCAGCATGCGGAAGCACCCGGAGATGCCCATCAGCTCCGTCACGCTCACCACCACCATGCTCGCGCCGGACGCCCCCTCCGCGGTGCTCTCCCACGCCGCCAACCCCAGGCTGCAGCAGGCGGTCAGGGAGGAGACGCCGGTGCAGTGCCACCTGGTGCTCGGCCTCCCGCAGCCCATCGCCTGCTACGGCGTGCCCGGCGACATCGTGGAGGGAGCGCCCGGCTGCCCCGTCCAGCAGGGCATTGCGGGGTTGGTTGGGCTGAAGACGCAGTGCAGGCTGTCCGGGCAGGGGTTCGGGCAGGGACCCGCCGAGGGCATCCTGACCCTCCTCAACCGCGAGCTCGGCAACGTCTCCTCCACCTTTGGGATCTGCAACGAGGACCAGCTCAAGGCCGCCGTGTTCAACGGGTCGGGGATGGATGTGGTGGTGGTGTCTTCGCTCACCTGCTTGCCGGTGTGAATGGAGTTGTAGGGGAGTTATTCTTCTTACGTTTAATGAAGCTTACTACGTGCGCATGCATGGACGCTACGGAACGCTACTGGAATTGGAATTAACGCAATCCCAGTGCCCTTTCCAGTTTGAAGTGCTCTGCACTCAATTTGCGCTCCTCCCTGCACATCTTTTTGTACTCCTGTTCGAGGTCGGCGATCTTCAAATTGTGTGCATCCTTGTCCTCTGCCTTCTTGGCCTTCTTCAGCGCCTTCTTGTGAAATTTGATGGCAGACTCCAGATCCATCACTTCCTTTTTGATCGTGTCAAGTTTTGGCTTGATGGCCTGGGATTGGTCATAAAAACGCAATTTTGCCTGCTTCTCGGATTGGTCGATCTGCTTAAGGTATAAACAACGACGCAGTGATTTCTCTTTGGTAATCAGCCTGCTGATCTGCCTGTTGCGATACATTCGCACTGTTCCGGAGACTTCAAGTCGGCGACTTGCAAGTTCGCTTCTGATTTCTTTGAGTTCTTGCATGGTTTTGTCTACAACAATCTGTGCCTCTTCGACCTGCTTCTGGAGATAGAAGCGGTATGGGGCGTAACACATAACGACTTGATGCTTGCGCGATCGAGATAATGGTCGAAACATATATCAGATCAGATGCTTTCCCAGAAGTCGGTTTTATTTAAATACATTACAAGAGCAAAACTAAAAACGTTCCGATGTTGACACCTGCACCCCGCACGCCCTGAGCGCCTCGACGATGGAGCGTACTATGCGGTGCTCGGAGTCCGGGAGGTGGTTCTCCTTGGCGGTGACGACGAGGTCGGCGGCGGGGAGGACGGCGATCTGCTGCTGCTCGTAGCTGTCGAGCGGCTTGTTGTCGAAGATGTAGGGGAGGTCGAGCTGGTCGCTCTGGAGGACGATGTTGCTTTTGTCCTGCCCCTCCCATTCGAACAGCCCGTGGTGGCGGTGGGGGAGCTGAACCCCAGGGGCTGTATCTTGGAGGATTTCAAGTGCCTCTCCCATCGTTTTGAGCGTCAGCCCCTCTCCTCTGGAATGAATAACGAAGACGGTGTGCAGGTTTGATCTGCCTACAACCCCCACCCCGGACTTGCTCTCCTGCTCCTGCATAATCCTCTCCGAGAGCGTCATGTGCATGGGGTGAAGCTGCGGCCAGCCCGTCTCCATCGCCTCCAGCATGCTCTCCTTTGCTGCCTGCCATGGGATGGACTGGGTATAACTACCTTTTTTTTTGGTTAAAAAGAGAGAGGGTTTGCCTTCGTACAGCCGCGTCGATGGGGCCTTGGTTGGTATACAATCAACATGGAGGGTACAATGGGAGACACTTCCGATCTGTACGGCAGGATCGCGTCCCTGGAGTTGAAGATGCAGAATATCCTGCACCGCGCCCACAATATCTGCACCTTCCTGGGCATGGAGCAGCAGCTCGACATGAAGTCGGAGATCCTGCGGGACTTCTACTGGATGTGCATCGACGAGGCGGCGGGGTTGCAGAGGCAGATCATGGATCTTATTAATGTGAGGGAAAGATTGGACAGGAAGAGGAGCCTGGGGGATGATGCGAGCGCATTGTTCATAGAAAAAAAAAATAAAAGCGTATAAAAAAATAAAGAATTACGAATGAACTTTAATCATTCTGACTACGCGTGCAAGTGCTAACGTCTAGCTCATTTGGAAAGCACCCTCGAGGATGCTTTGATGGGTTCCATACAGGTAATCGATGCCACGGAGTGTGCGACGAAGGTTCTCGAGCACGTAAAGGCGGTGAGCTTCTGGCACTTCTCTCTCATCGGTAGGGAGGGGAAAACGCTCCTCAATGATTTGCCGGACAAAGCATGGAAGCTCGTTGTATTGCGAGTCGTACACAATTGAACTCGGTGTGACGTACAAATTGCTCCATCTGGCCATGAGTTTGTCCAGTGCAATGACAGCCTCGGTACGTTGTTCAGCAGAAAGGATGATGTTTTGAAACATGATTGTTTTCAGGTGTAGGTTGCATCGATATTACTCTTAAATATAAAACCAGTTTCAGCGCAGCGTTCATAGAAAAAAAATAAAAAAGGAAAACTAAAAAAAACTAAAAAAAACAACTAAAAAATCCCCCGCTTATAAAAGGCGGGACGGGCCGCGGATTTCCGCACCCTCCCACGCGCCTCCCGCCGCCATTGCATGGGACCCACCGTCTTGTACACGCAAAGGGAACAGCAGAAAAGTTTTGATCCCAGAAACCAGAGATCTTCGAAGAATGTTTTCATCTTCAACATCTACCGAACCTTCCACGTCGTCCAACGACCCGCCGTTTCCTTCCTCCAAGGCCTCGCCTGCATCTTGCTCGCCTTGCTCGTCGCCCTCCAGGCCCTCCAAATCCTCATCATCCTCCACGCCTACGGTGCTGGACAGCGGAGGCCCGCCTCCCACCTCGCTGGAAGGGAGTGCTACCGGGATCTTGACCGTGCCTTCTTGCTCCACGGGAACTACCGGAGGGGCTCCTTTCAAGCTTCGACTCACCTCCCCGGAGGAGTGTGTGCGCCTCTTCCTTGAGTCGGAGCGGGTGGATGCGACGATGGTGCTCCTCGCGCTCGTGCCACAGAAGAGGATCTCGCTGGTGCCCTACTTTGTGCCTCCGGGTGAGGTCGAGAGCGTGAAGAGCGGGTGCCACGGCCTTCATCCCAAGTTTCCCGTGCGGCTTTTGGAGGTCCTGGGTGACGACATGGTCGACGGGGGCCTTGGGATGGCAAAGTTGGAGAGTCAGCCTTGGGTGCGTGGGGTCTACGCACGGCTATGCGACGCGCTCCCACCGGACGCCTGGTTCCCGTGCCCCCCGCCCATCCGTGTCTACTGCGAGGACATCCGCTGCCTTTGGCTCTATGCCCACGGGGACTGGGGTAACGAATCCCCGGACGTCGCGCTCCTCCCGCTGCTCAACGACATGGTGGAGTTCCTGCATGGTAGGCTCAGGCACCAGGTGTACGTGTTTGCTAGGTGCTGCATGCGAGGCTCGTCCGTGAGTGTGGCGCTCAGCGTGATGATGACCTCCAGCGACTGCGGGTGGTTTCGGGACTTTTTCATCGGTTTCGTGAGGGCCAAGGGACAGGCCGTGTACTCCGCCTATCCGGCCTTGAAGACCTACGTTGGGGACCTGGGGGTGCAGAGTCTAAGGGTCCTGGACTGTGTGATGGATCCTTCTGTGCGCAAGGTCAACGTCTATTCCTCCCCCTATACCTGCCCCTTGGATAGGAAGGATCCGTCGCTCGAGGTAGACCTGCGCAACGCGGGGGTGACACCGACAGAGATGGGCAGCTACCTGAGCTTCATGCAGGTGGACGCTTCCGGCTTTGCCAGCTCCCCTGCGATATCGATTCAGAAGAAAGGGTCCAAACGATTCAAGATTAGTAAGGCGATTGCTAAAGACAAGGAGAACGTCAACCCACACTGCCTGTTTTAAGTGCTATTAAGCCGTAATCCCTAATTATAATGTGTGCTAAGTACAAACACGAACAATACTTCCCGTTCTTGTTACCGCAACCTTCACCTTCATCTCGGGACGTCAACCTCCCGGGGCCTTAAATACGCTACTCCATGCCCCCTCTCGCTCCACGGATGCACTCGGTTTTTTTGTTGTGCATTTGTTGCTCCGTATGACTCCCGGGATGCATAAAAGCGATCGTTGTTCTTACCCGTTCCAAAATGCTCATCTGCGGCATCGCCAACCCGACGGGGGAGGGTGAGGGCTACAACGGGCTGCACCTCAAGGATAGCGAGATCGACGAGATCATCGCAGGGCGGGAGATGGTCGGCCTGCCGGTCAAGATCGAGCACAAGGGGGTGGGCATCGGGAGCGTCGTCTCCGCCTTCAAGGACCGGGAGGGGCGCCTGAACTGCGTCATGGAGCTCAGCCCGGACGAGGTGGAGGGCGCCATCGCGCAGGAGTGGGTGCGGGACAGGACCGCCAGCGAGCTGTCGCTTGGGTACGTCGTGGATATCAACCAGTCGGGCAGGGGGGAGGGCGAGCGCCTCCGCGCGGGGAAGAAGAAGGTCCTCGAGGTGAGCATCGTCAGGAAGGGCGCCAGGCAGGGATGCAAGATCTACGGCAGGGATGCCCCGCATTCAAATCAGTCCAATGCCTTCCCCGTGCCCTCCAGCGCGGAGATCCTCAAGGACTGGGGCGTGGCGTTCGGTTTGTGAGTATTTAAATGGATTGCAGATTGCAGTGCCATCTTGAAACGGATATGTTTACCATCACTAACAACGTCGAGGCACACCAGCCCCACCAAAAGCTGACTATCTTTCAGTTCAGTAAGCTCTATAACGAGCCCCTGTCCTCCATGGTCAAGCATGTCTGCTACCGCATTGAGATGCGCAAGCACATCAATGCGAACAACTTGAGGATCGTTCAGCTGAACAACATGCTCAGAGAGACGACCGAGAGGCACTGCATGGATCGTCTCCCCCTGATTCACAAGGCCGACTTCCACGAGCTCTACGTCATCGAAAATCTCCTCCGTGAATTCGTTCATGATCTCGGAAAGATCCGGGAGGAGGCCACGATCCTGGCAGAGGAGATCGTGGAGCTGGACGCGGCCCTGAACAGCACCGGACTGATGTACTAGGGTGGCTGGAGTAATAGGGTAGTGTGACCTGACTGTATTCACAATAAATCACGGTTCAGTTTGTCTCTCCGTCTCTCCTTATCTCTCCTTCTCTCTCTTTTTCCTCCCTCCTATCGCAGATCTCCTGGAAGTAATCCAGCCTCTGCTCCCGCATCTCCTTTTCAAGGTTGTACAAAATAGTTTCGTACCGCGCGACGATGGCCTTCATTGGGGCAGTGCCGCGCGCGTAGGTGAGGTCTGTGAGCACAGCCTTGGCCATCTCGATGTGGTACATGAAGGCGTCGATCGTGTTGGCGATGTTGGCGGCGCAGCCGATGGTGATGGGCATCGCCCTCAGTCGGAGGAACTCAGTGAGGAAGTCCTCCGCCATGCTGATGTGAAGGGCCAGGCCCTGTGCTGTTACCTCTGCAAGATCGGTCTCCATTCCAGCCTCCTCATGGAGAATTCGTCGAAGGGAGTCACTTGGTGCGTCGCGTGATGGACTGCATGGATATTCTGTTGTTGTGCAGGGAACGGACTCTGCGTCAGGACGTGGTTCCGGTAGAGGTACACCACCAGGCGATACAGGACCACCGAGAGGAAGATCGCAACGTACCCTCCCGTCGTCACACCCTCGAACGCTATAGTGAAAAGCTTCCATCCCGTTACCCAGAAGATCAACGCCACGCCGTCGTTGGCTAGATTGAAGGTGGCGAGGCCCAGGATCCTTGAAATAGAACCCCCCTCCCCCTCCATAAAAAAAGGTTTTTTTTTTTTGAAGGGTGGACGCACGTGTTTATATGCAGCCGCGTGCCGAAATAAGCATCGTCAAGTGATGCAATCGTCTAATCTTGAGTGTATCCAATGTGAGCTTGGTGATATAGTGAGCACAGAGTTTTATTACTTATCGTACCACACATTTAGGTATACTAATTGTACCACACATCTAGGTCTGCTTATTGTACCACACATCCACATCTACGACCTCGTGTGAAATGCTCTTCTCGATTATCAGCTTGAGCAGTTCATCAGAGCTGATATGGTCGTGCTGATTATCGCGTTGTGTGTAGGGTCGAATGTAATGGACTGCATCCGCATGCTGCATCGTAAGCTGTCTGTCGTGGTAGACGTCAACCACGAAGCTGAAGTGGTTGCATGTGAAGATGGGGGCATGCGAGTAATAACACCTCCATTTGTATGGGTTCACCCGCTCCCATAGATGGCTCTGGATTCCCTCGCTCGCGGAAGGTGTGATGATTGTGTCTGCAAGCTTTGCCTTCTCGACTGCTTCTTTGAGCTTGTCGACAGCGGAGTCCATGTGTTTGTAGACGTACTTATGATTACTTTCTGGATCAGCGTCCATTGCAGCCTTGGCCTGGGCAAGTTTTTCGCCCATCTCGGCGAGCTTTGCGGCTGCGAAGGCGTAGAACGTTTCGTTGCAGAATGTCATGATGTGCATGCCTCTACCGTCACCTTTGCAGGCGAGCTTGACCTCTGGCGGTGAGGATGCGACCTTCAAACGTTTGCTCGAAGGTTCTTGTGTGGTATTCTGCATATCATATATGACTTTGGAGAACATGTTGTAGTTGATGAGATTGTTTGTGTTCGGTCTTAAATATTAGACCATGTTTTTATAAATTCCACACAACTGGAAACCAAGTATCCGGCGCTTGCATCAGCTTTGGTGACTCCTGTTTAACGGGTGGCAGGGGCTTCGTCCTCTTCGGCATCTCCACGCCCTGCCTCCTGGCGATGCGCTTCTCCTCCGACCGCCTCTTGGCATCCCGCAGGCTCCTGAGTTTGATGCCTAGGACGCGCTCATTGGACCCGACGAAACGCATGTAGTACTTCCCATCCTGCGTGAGTAGCGTCTTATCGGTATGGGAGGTTATCATCCTCCTCCTCCTCGCGAGGTTGTCGATCTTGCACTGCAGCGGGGTGTCGATGCATAGGGAGTTGAAGATGTTGCTCATGATCCTGAGCGCCCTTTGGGTATCCAGCGCCGACTGCCGTCTCGTGCCCTTCATCGCCCAGCGCTGCTGCATGGCGGATATGACGAGGCTTGCAATCTTGTCCTCGAACTCTCGTGGTTCGGGCTCGGTGCCTTTGTCCTCCTTGACGAAGATGTGAAACTCTATGATATGAAACTCTATGCCGTTGACGGTGACCACGGGGATGCTGCAGCCCTCGTCGCTGATGAAGAGCTGCTTCTCGCGGAGCAACGCAAAGGAGCCGTCCTCGATCGCCTTCCGGAAGAAGATGTCGGGGAGAAGGTCGGGGAAGGTAGACGACTTGATCGTGAAGATGTGATCCTTGGTGAGCTTCATCGTCACCGGCTTGTTTAGGAGATCGTTGATGTCCATCGCGGGAGGGAAGCGGGAGCGTGGGAGGGGAGCGTAGAATGTGGACAAAGTGAGGGGCAGAATTCCACGAACTAAGAAATACGGCCCCTCCCCAAAAAAAAACTATTTCCGGGGCCAGAGTTCATGGGTAGTTTTTTTTTAATTTCCCGCTTTTTTTTACCGACCCGCCTTTTTTGCCAGACCGGCCCGTCCGCCCGACGAGAGCCATGTCCCACTACCTGGAGAGCGAGCCGGAAGAGGACGACGAGAGCGAGGGGTGTGAGAGCGAGGATTCGGAGGACAGGCGGTTCATTGATGATGATGGCGAGTGTGGGAGTGTGGACCTGGGGGTATACAGAGAATTGAAACATGACAGCAGCTCTGAAGAGGAGGATGCAGGGGAGGCTTCCGCGGAGGACGAAGACGACGAAAGCAGCAGAGCCATGCGCGAGCTGCACCGCATGCTGGGTAAAAGCCGGGAACGGAGGGAAGCACTGGGGAGGCAGTATCCGCTCGACTTTGGGTTGGGTGCAAGTCGATCGGAGGCACCGGAGCTTACTGCGGAGGAGGTCCAGGAGCGACTCCGGGCAATGTCGCCCTGCAGGGAGAAGCGGCCGCCTCCCTCGCGGAGGAAAAAGGGAGAGATGCAAGAAGAATCGCATGTTGCCCCCAGGTTTACTGCCGGCATCGTGAGGGCGGGCAAGACCCCCGTCTGCGCACCCCTGCCGCGGCCCGTCTCGCCCGCGTTCTCCTTCGTCAGGGAGATGGAAGAGGCAGAGAGGAAGAAGCGGCTAAGGGACAACGGGGAGAGCATGCGGAAAGTACTGGACAAGGAAAGGGAGGCGCACGCCAGGAGGCTTGTGGCAGCACCCAGGAAGACGGTGAAGAAGGTTGTTGCCGAGCCGCCAAAGGGCAATGCCACAATAGATCGATTCTTTGGTAGAGTTTGTAAGTTCGAATAAAGTGTTGTGTTTGTGTGTTTATGTTTAGAACAAAAATCTTTCATCGTTACAACTTTTTCAGGTAGTATGAATATATTTAAGATATTTATGTCTCGGCACATGTATGCAGTCATGTCATATTGTATTGATTACATCAACAAAAAGGTCTACAACTCAGGCAGACGTCGATTTATGAATATCCTAGGTGTGGAGTTTAAATGTCATGGCAAGGGACACGCCCCGTCCCCTGGACCTGGGATTATTCACGTGAACTATAATGAGTATGTTCTACTTCGGAAAAGCCGCCTTGTGAAGAATGAAATGTTGACGCACTGCTTTGATCAACTCCAGAACAACCGTCAAGAGTTCAAAAAAACGATGTTGGATCTCAGGAAGCGGAAATGTATCGTTCGGGTATATGCAGGAAAACGTTCAAAGAATCACGCTGAAGCTACTCCGATGAATGACCAGGCACCGGAATCTTCCGAAAACACTTTGTATAGTGTAGAGTGGGTCTCGGATATTGTCGAAATCCCTCCCGTTCCAAGTGTCTTGTTGGACAACATGTATGGGTTTGAGTAATGTCGTTCTTTTTATTACGAGTAAAAGACGTGTGTACCCTGCCTACACCCTGTACGCCGCCATCCTGGTGAGGGACTCGGAGACGAGGGGGACGTGCTTCATGATGCAGACGGCGAGGGAGATGGAGCTGAATGCGAGCCCGACGACGAGCGACTTCATCATCTCACTGTCCTGGCTGTGCTGGTGGACCTCCTTGCAGAAGAGGATGAAGACGAGGAGGGTGGCGGTCTCGATGCGCCTGTTCTGCATGCATCCGGAGAGGAGGGTGATGACGGCGCATCCCTTGACGAACGGGTTGAGGAGGAAGAGGATGATGTCGCGGGGGCTGTTTCCTGTGATGTTGTTGATCTTGTCCGCCCCAACGAACATCCAGACGACCCAGGCGATGCAGCAGGCGAAGGGGGCGGCCTTGTAGAGCGTCACGCGGTTCATGCGAGTGTGCTGCGCCTGGATGACCGGGAGGGTGGCGCCCAGGGGCAGGGCAATGCCGAAGAGGACGTCGACCCTCGGGTTCTCGATGCGGGTGCAGAGGACGAGGTCATCCGGGGCGGTGTGGTTGGCACAGGCGTTGAGGGCGAAGGCGAGGATGGCGGCGACGACGCAGATGAAGGAGAAGAGGCTGAAGCAGCGGTTGACGGCGACGTGGGGCTCGGGGTTCCGGTGCCGCATGAAGGATATCGTCTCCGGGACCTGCGTGATGATGATGCCTGTGATGAGCGACATGCCCGAGAGCCCGTTGGTCATGTCCACGGTGTATGAGGCGACGAAGATGCTCAGCCCGATGAAGTAGACGACGCGGTAGACCTCCATGATCTCCTGGAACTCGGTGACGGTCTCTTCCTTCTTGGCACGGAGCGGAAGTGCCACGGACGAGCGGAAGGAGCGCGCCGTGCTCTCGTTGTCCCTTGTGCCGTCGAGGTCGAGCGTGAACTCCTGGGCCTTGCGCATGGTCTCCTGGTGCTTCCTTCTCGTCTCCTCCTCGTTCTGGTCCGTCTCTTCGTTCTCCTGACGCTCGAGGTCGCGGATCGCCTCTTCCAGCTCGCGGTCCTCGGCCGGCTCCACCTCGTTGTAGTTGGGGTCGCGGTCGCGGTTGGTCATCCTGGCGATGACGAGGGAGACGACCTTGATGGCCAGGAAATAGGTGCAGCCCAGCAGCACGCAGACGCTCGAGTTGGTGACCTGCTGGTCCAGCGTGATGTGCCTCTCGTTGGTGGAGTAGAGCGAGACGAGTGTGCAGCTTGCGAAGACGATGCTCTTCACGATCAGGCTGAAGAGCGACATCCTCAGGAGATTCGGTGGGGGTAGGGTTTGGCGGTGGATTGTGGGGAGCTTGTTATATCTTCCCGGGGATGGCCCAGGCGCTTTCCATGCATGGCCAATCCATCAAAAAAAACAATTCATTAAAAAAGAGGTATGGTAAAAAAACAGAATAAAAAAAAAGGAAGAGAGGGTCGCAATTCCAAAAAAAATTAAGAAAATGGGTCGTAATGACATGGGACGCAATCATCTTGGGTCGCAATTCCCTGCAGCGCCTATAAGAACGCGACCCATCCGTTCCCTCCCACATCTCCCACGCCGGCCTGACATGTCATCCGCGAAGGAACTCACCGACACCCCAACCGATCTTCTGTATTGCCATGAGGATATGCAAGCCTGGTCTCCCCTTGAGCTTTTTCCAGCAGAGGAAGATGATGACTTCTTCGAAGACGACGAAATGATGGATGATGAGATGACCTTCCCTTACGGTTTCAGTGATTATTACGGTAACCAGGAGGACGGGGAGGATGACCTTTCTGGTGACTCTATCGATTCTCCACCTCCCGAGGACGGACCCAGCGACGACACTCTCGCGCTGGTCCCATTCACTCCCACACCGCAGCCCCCAGGCGTGTACGGCTTCACCGGGTTCGAGCCGGAGGCGGACATGGCGGCGTGGGCCGAATGGTTGCTTCAGGTCGACCCGATCGAGATCTTCCTGAAGATGTACAAGACCGGGTTACCACGCTTTGGGAACCGCTACCTCACCTACATCCCCGTCGACCCTGCTTACGCCGGGAACCTGCTCCAGTTCCACACCAACACCCTCGAGCTCAGCATGCTACCTGGGAGGATCAGCAGGACGGAGGGCCTGGTCGCCGAGACGCGCTGCATCAACTCGGGGCGGAGGCTCTACTGCTGCATGCGCTGCTTCGCCAGCTCCAGGGTCAAGCCCTTCATCGACACCAGCTACGACGGCATCGTCGGGCACATCTGCCGCGAGACGGCGTGCCGGAGTCTGCATGGCTGCTGCTTCATGTAGTTCATAGGGTCTTGTTTTGTGTTAAAAAGTGGCTTTGATTAATAAACGTTCTAAAAAAAAGACCTGCAAGCGCCGCACTTGCGGGCCCGTTTACACGGAACCACACGGAACCCCATGCTGTCCCGCCTGAAGAAGGCCCGGCGCCCCCACGGCTACGAGTGGAGCACCTTTGGGTACGAGATCCTGTCGAACGTTATGCCCGCGGACTACAACCTGGTGGGGAAGGAGATCGTCCTGAGGCACAACTCCCGGAACGTCTTCCGCGCCACGATCCGGGCGGAGAGCTGCCTGGTCGTGCTGCTGAAGGACCTGGAGAGGAGGGGGAAGGAGGCCGGGAACCGGCACATCTCCGGCTTCTGCTGCGTGGCGGAGCGCACCAGGATCGGCGGCGACCAGACGCTGCGGGGCTTCGTCGAGGCCCACCTCACCCGGCTGCTCAGGAGCATGGCGCACGGCATTATTGCGCGGGTGGACGGGTTCCGCGTGGAGGAGGAAGGGAGGGAGCAAGACAAGGAAGAGACACCGGACGTGATCATGTTCGAGCCCGGTGACCCGCCTGCAGACCCGTCGGACACGACCTACCCGTTGCTGCGGCCCATCAACCCGTCCGACCCGGCATGCACCTGGCCGCTGGTGATCTACGGGGGCCAGACGCAGGGGGTGGAGACCAACAGGGAGTGGCTGAACTTCCTCCTCATGTGCCAGTGCATCGCCAACACCCTGGGGGTGAGCCACCAGGAGGCGGTCTACCACAACTGCATCAAGATGGAGATGGCGAGGAGACAGGTCCCGCACATCTCACACTTCCACTGCGTACAGCGCCTCCCGGGTGGGGAGATGGCCAAGATCGGCGAGCTGGACCTCCTCGTCGAGCTGGCGACGGGGAACTACCTCGTCGAGCTCAAGGTGTGCGCGCAGTGGAGAAAGTTCGAGAACCAGATCAAGAAGTACATCAACGCAGTCCACTCCATGGGGTACCGGGCGGCGGGGGCCGCAATCGTCAACTTCAACCCCAAGGGCGTCATCGAGGTCGCCATGTTCGACGCCGCCAGCCGCCACGCCCCCGCGCCCAGTCTGTAGTGCACAGGGCATCGTATTTAAGCCACCGCGGTCGGGTATCGCGCATCATGGTTGAATTTTTCGATTACTTCAATTTGTTGGAATTCAACATCAGCGGCACTAGGTCCGATGTGGTCTTCTACTTTCCCGTGGCGATGCTCTGCGGCATCATCGAGTGTTTCTGGGAACATTTCAAACCCAAAAAGCTGGTGGACATACCTGATATTGCAAAGTACAAAGACAGAACTGTTTACATGCAAGATTTGAGCAGAGTCAACAAGCAAAACAGTGAGATAGAAGATGAAAACGAGGCCATGAAACAGAAGGCCATCGATACTGTAGTCAAGAATTTCTCATTGGATTCGGATAACAAGAAGATGAAACTTGTTACAAACATGAGATCCTCTAGTGTTGAACAATGGGAAAAATCCAGAGAGATGACAAAGGATATGATACCTACGCTTGATGAATTTGGTGTATGCGTTCCAGGAAGATCAAGATCATTGATCAAAGATTTTGAATCACAAGAAAAGGGGATTCAATACAGTGCAGACAGACTTCATAAGAAGATCAAGGCAATGGAGAAGGATAAGAAGATCAAGGAAATGGAGAAGGGTCAGAAGATCAAGGAAATGGAGAAGGGTCAGAAGATCAAGGCAATGGAGAAGGGTGGTGTTGAAGATGACGAGAATAATTATTTCGTACATGATGTGACCTTGCTGAAACAGAACTGTAGAGATTACGAAACACAAATCAAATATACGTTCAAAATTTTATTCCCTAACTGTATGAAAGCCAAATCCAAATCCATCAAGAAGAAAGGCTTTTCAGCCAAGAAAGCAAAGGTTACGTCCACCTCAGCCGAATCCATTCAACCTGTGCAAGATCAGGATCAGCAGCCACCCGGCGAAAAACGTCGTCGTACTCTCACCGAGGAGCGGCAGGTTACCGCGGATCAGCCGGTCACACCGACCCAGCCAGTGCAGGAGCTGCCCCAGCCACAGCGTCCCATCGCAGCCATCGTCATTTCTGACGACGATACGAAGGAGCAGAAAGCGGTTGCTGACAAGGAAAGGAAGAAGCAGGAAGCGAAGCACAGGGCAGCTTTCCGCAAAGGCATCGTCGATGAGATGCTCGCCAAGATACAGGAGTGCAAGGACGACCCCAATGGCAGGGAGAAATTCCAGGAGTACTTCGCGGAGAAGAACTATGGCGGGATAGAAGAAGCGATGAAAAGTTATAATTCATGGACTGGTTCATTGCTTTTGAAGAACAGATTGCAACAGTTTGTGGCTTTCTGGATTAATGTCCCGCCATTGAATCCCGTCTGACCACACAAGGACGCCTGTGAACTTGATCGTTTGGTTCACACCACGTAGTTCGTAGACGTTGATTGTTCTGGAGTAAAAATCGTCAAAATATTCTGCTGTTTGTATCTGTATTTAAGGATACGATGCTGTTTGCAATCACGCACAACATGCCACTGACATTTGGTTCCCTTTTCACATGTGTGGTTGCTGTTTCTGGTTGGAAGTCAACCACTCCATCAACAACTTCTCCAAATATTTCTGCAAGGAGCACCGCTTCACCAACAACTTCTCCAAATATTTCTGCGGAGAACGATGAGGAAGAAGATACACCTGAGTCGCAAAGCCAGATCGAAGCAGAACCCCAAAATGTAATGGATCCGGAGGTTCAACAAATCATTCTTGAAGTTCTCAACATCACCAATCCCGGGGTGCAGGATCCTGAACAAGTATCCTTCTCTAATTTGCCTAATCTCAGGAAAAAAATGAATGATTGTGAACCAGAGACTATGGATACGGACACGGATATTTGCAACATCTGCCGCTGCACGAATAACATCAAAAATACGAAGAGCAATGCGAACAATTATTGTGCCCATCAGACGACCGATGTTACGAATTTCATCAACAAACATGATCATATCTGGTATGCTATCCAATACCTTTTCACATTACTGGACAAAGTTGAAATAATGTTGAAAGTGGAGAGGAAGAAAACTACTGCTTTGCCATTTTATAAGATACATCTTAAACTTATTCTCCGTTGGTCCTGCGAAATGTACTTGCAGAAACAATTTGATCAAAAGTTTATCCGTGATTTCGTGTATGCCATGTCACATGGCAATTCAATCCTGAAGAAGAGTGATAAAAACACTCCTAAGGAAAATGGCAAGATCTTTAATCTTGCAAAGAGTTTGGTACATCACAATGGATATGCCATCAGCTCAAACCCTGCCGCCAACGAAGAAGCTGTCCCCAAAGAGAAAAAACGTAAAACAGACAAGGATGAGAAGAATAACAGAGAACGTAAGACTCCAAAGAATATGGAATCCTCCGACGGACATGTCCCCAACACAAGCTCTGTCTACCATACGGCGATTGACAACGACACGGAGTCTGACAGTGATCCAGAGCTTTTGGAACTGGTTTAGGAGGACGATGAGGAGTAGGAAGATTAGTACTCCTTCCCGTAATCTACCGTAAAGAGCACACATTGTTGTTTTTAATAAACCGCTCGCCATATTAAGCTTACTGTGCTGTTACACATGGGATCCACCCCCGCAGGCGCAGTTGCCTCTCACCCATCCCATGTCAGCGGCGAGGGAGCGGGCGTGTTGGAGGTGGGACTCGGCCTCACTGGTGAGGTAGTAGTGGACGTTGACGGAATAGTCCCTGCAGTGCCCTGCGGTGCTGCTCTGTATGCAGGTGAGGTGCAGCCTTTCATGGGGGATGAGGCAGTTGAGCGCGCAGATCTCGCCGCTGCTGAGCCCGTGTCTGGAGCGGACGTCCGCGTCGCTGACGATCCTGGTGCGCTTGCAGTCGAAGCACACCCTGCAGCTGAGTTCATGGAAGAGGATGCCGCTGGTTCCCCCGCAGAAGGTGCAGTTGGAGAGCATCGTCAGTCGCAGGATGCGGGTGACTTCCTGGAAGGTGATCGGTTGGTTTTTCGTGGGTCTGGGTGCGTGTGTGTTTCTGAGCGCACGGAGGAGCTCGAGCTGGTTGGCGCGGTGTTGGGCCCTGCGCTGGTCCATGCGGATGAAGTTCAGTAGATGGCTGTGGTATGCCCCGAGAAAGTCGGCAGTGGTCATGAATGCCTGGACCCAGCGGCGATGAGCCCGGCTGCAGCTCGCGAGGCGGAGGGCCATGCCAACGCACTCGACGGCGTCCTCCTTGCTGGCAGCCCCGCATATCTGCCCGCGGAAGAAGTAGGACATGAGATCCGCGTCCAGTCTTCCTAGGAAGTTCTCCGTGCTGCAGTCAATGTGCTCCATCCCCTTGATGAGGTCCTTGTAGATCCGGAGGTAGAAGAAGATGTCCGGGGTGGTACGCGGACTGGTGCTATCGTCCAGCCGCACCCTGCATGGCATCGCGCGCTTCGGAAAGGGCGGGAGCGGACGGGCTACTTTTTTTGAAGGGCTAAAAAAATAAAGAAAAAAAAATAAAAAAAATGGGGGACGTAGCGAACCCCTTTTTAAACTACCCCACTCCCACATCCCTGCCACCAGGCACGGCATGCTAGCCGAGAGCACGGACAAGAAGATCACGCTGCAGTACGCCACCACCGGGCAGGACGGGGTGGAGTACAGGGTAAGCTTCGACCTGGACTTCTGCAAGGGGAAGCGGAGCTCGGAGTTTGGAGAGTACGAGAGGCTGTGCTTCGGCGAAGCCTATGACGTCGAGACCTTCCTCCTGGACGAGGGCGACAGAAAGGCCTACCGGGTTATTGCAGAGGAGGGAGTCCTGCTCTCCCGCATCAGCAACATGTCCGTGAAGACCGCCGAGTCCGGTGATACCGACACCAACGACTACTCCATCGCCGTGCTCATCCACACGAAGGAGCCCAAGTTCCCCGAGGATGACAAGGACAGCGACACCCCTCTCAACCCCGACAGCACCGACGGCGTCCCCTGGAGCGTGCCGATCTACCGCAACAGCCAGACGATCGACCAGAACGGTCTGGGCAAGTTCCAGATCACGGTGAAGCGCGCGGTCGAGCGCAACGAGCTCCCGGAGGACCCATACACCGAGGTCACGACCGACAGCACGGGCGTGGTCTACATGACCTTCTTCGTGGAGCACAAGCCCAAGCCCGAGCGGGAGGAGGCGACCCGCGGAGGTGGTTCGTTCCGCACCCGCGGCTGCGGCGAGGTCAAGCACGACCAGGCCAGGGTCGGGTATGGTGACCGCGCCAGCACCGCCTCGCAGAAGAGTCAGTACAAGACCATCCCCGGGACCGGGCGCTTCATCCTCCCCCTCCGCTACATGGTCCGCGCTGGTTCCGACGCCTCCGAAGCGCCCTGCTCGGAGACGGCGCCCAAGGCGGAGGCCCGTATTATGGCGCTGGAGGAGCTCCAGGCCCAGGTGGCCGTAGTCCCTCCCTGAATGAGCACAGTCTTGTGTTATCGGAAGTAAGTAAATTTAAAGAAGGATTTTACTGAATAATCACCAAAACAATGGCTACCGCATGATTAGGCCTCGATGACAACTTCCCAATCACCAAGAGCACTGAAGTCCAGGCCACAGTACGAGGCAAGCTGCTCGTAGATTCCCTTGAAAAGGCTGACCTCGCTCTTCACCGGGTCGACGATACGAGTTAGTTTCTCCTGGTCGAGGTCACCGATATTCAGGCGTTCGTCAATCTGAACGACTGCCGTTCTGCAGAGATCAAAGAGGATGCACTTCTTGGCACGAAGAGAGGTCTGGAGACGCTTGATCTCGCTTTGCTGCTCGGAGGTGAGGGTCAATGCCAATTGCCTGATCTTCTCAAGGTTTGCGTTGAAAAACTTGTCGATAGGAAAACCCTTTACAAAATGGAACCTCTTTCGAAGTGCTGGAATGTCGGTGTTGTTGAGAACAATGACATCGCAAATTTCAACAAGGGAGTCTATTGGCAATGTGATGTGGCACATGGCCTTGATATCAAGGTATTGGTCACAGTCGTGCAAGCACAGCTGCTTCCCAATACAGGTAATCACCCTTGGGATCCTCTTGTTGTTGGTGATAATCACAGTAACATAAGCACAGTGTATCTGCACAAACATGGTGGAGAGCAGCGCATGGCAACTTACCCACGAGGGCTTAAATATACAATTTCGTATTATCGGAAGTCAATAAATTTAATCATAAATCAAATCAGCCTTGTCAACGAGGGCTGCATCATGGGCCTGAGCCCCTTGCCCTCCCTGACGCTCGCCACGCCCTGGAAGGAGTGGCCCAGGTGGCCGGCGCCGTGGACCTTGCTGATCTCCGACCCTCCCAGTGCGCACGTGACGACGTCGCCGTGGAAGCTGAGCGCGCAGACGTTCGTCTCGTTCTGCACCGTCTGTTGCCCCGCCACCTTCCTCAGCGCGTGAAGCTGGTTGAAGTTGGGGAGCAGCGCGAGGTAGTGCAGGTACTTGTCGCGGTACCAGTCCTTGGTAAACACCCGCATCTCCGGCTTCACCGTGTTGTACAGGTTGTCCGGGTCGATCGGCAGGCGGTCGTTGGTGTTGGCCGAGTGCGGGTCGTAGAACACGATGGGGTTGGGCCAGGGCTGCTTGATCTTTGTGATTTCGGGGTGGTTGTGAGGTACGAAGAACGACATGATGAACATACTCTTTCCTTCGTAGGGTTTGTCAATCGAGCTCGTGTCCTTCCTGAACTGTTCAAGATCGTCACCATCCCTCCAATCCACCACCGTGTCGTCCATCCCGCCGTTGTAGCCGTCGAAGCAGATGTCCCACAGGCGGATCAGGTTGCGCTCGTTGTGGACGAGGGCCTTGGCGTGGTACTTGTACTGCATGCCCCAGATGCCGTGCTGCCCGTCGTCGTAGCACGTCATCTCCGTCTGGCCCCAGTACGTCGCCCCCAGCTCGCCCGTCCCGCCCCTCCCCATGATCGCCGCCAGCATGTTGTGCTCGATGTTCGGGCGCACGCACACGATATCCACGTACCAGTCCAGGAGGGGGTTCCGGTTTGGGGCTCCGACAAATCCGGTGGGGGGTGCTGGTGGGGGGACGGGGGCTGGTCTGTAGGTCGTAACGACTGGACCTCCTCCACCTGGTCTAGGAGGATGATATTCTGGACTACGCCTCTGAAGCTCATTGATAACGGTCTGCGTCGCGTTCGTCTCATGGTCAGATACAATGGTGTTATAGATATCGTCGAACGTCATTGCGTTGTTTGTGTTTTCAAAGTTGAGTCCAATCTTTGGTGTATCGATGACAAGTGGGGAGCTGGTGATCCTGGCCCCGAGGGTGTGCCTGACGTTCCCCACCGCGCTCTTGGCGGCGAGCACGCAGCCCGGGGCGGCGGCGTCGTTAGCGTAGTGCATGACGCTGGTGAACATCCTGGCGAAGGCAAGCCTGTAGAGGTGGGAGAGGAGATGGTCGCGGCTGTCTTGAGCTTCAAAAAAGCACTGGACGTCCTTTCTGAGTGCCTCCACGTCGAGGGAAGGAGACTGGTACTCCGCCAATCGGCTGTGCTGCAGGATGCTGTCGACGGAGGAGAGGTCGGCGGAGGTGAGCGGGAAGGGGTAGCAGCGGAACTCGGTGCCCAGCACGGCGTCGGAGTCGAGCTTCAGCCCGTTGGAGGCGAGCAGGGCGCGGGTCTCGTCGTCGCGCTCCCGATTGAAGATGGGGGAGCTGCTGATGGTGTCCCCGGAGGCGTTGACGTGCATCGTCGAGGTCGCGAGGGTGTGCAGGCGGCTCTGCGCCGGGGCCTGCAGGCGCTCGGAGGTGGAGCGCTGGAGCAGGCCGGTGAGGAAGCGGACGTCCAGGCCTGCCTGAGCCCCGGATTCCAGGGAGTCAATCACCTTGTTGCTGTAGTCGAGGAGCGTGTCATCGAGCTGGCGGGAGACTTCGGGGGCCAAGGACTCCAGGACCTTGACACAGCGCTCCCGCACGCCAGCGTCGGGGTGGGCATGGGAGATGTACTTGACCATGAGCACGGAGCAGTAGGGGCTGTCGCGATCGGCCTGGGCGGCGGCCAGCTCCTCCCGGTTGCCAAGGTCGGCGAGGCCCAGGAAGGAGAGGAACTCCCCCTGGAGGTCGAGCGGGACGTTGACGTGGGAGAGCAGCGCGTTGCAGAGGGGTGAGTCCATCATCGAGTGGCAGAAGCAAGACTGGATGAAAGGGACGAACTCCCGCGCCGCAGACTCCGGGACCTGGGGGTTGAGCGCGTTGGGGGCGCGGATGCCGTTGAAGAGCACTGAGCCGACGACCCCCACCGCCGCCGACATCTCCAGTGCCGTCCAGGGACGCTTCCTGAACTCCGCCTGGGCTTCGGTGATTTCGTCCTTGGGGATCGTCTGGTACCCAATGTGGAGGGAATCACCCTTGAGCGTCAGGCGCTTGGCCTTGAGCAGCACGGCCTCCCGCGCCAGCACGTCCTGCTTACCCTCGGGTGCCTTCAGCGAGGCGCGGAGCGAGCGGAACTGGTGCGCCGCCCAGTGCAGCACGCCGCTGTTGCCGGCGAGCATCGTGGAAACGTTTTCTACTGCCATGGCGTGGGAGGGGGCGATGCCACCCAGGCCCGCCGATACGGCCAGCGCACCGTCCATGCTGTCCCGCACCCTCAGTGCGTTCAGGTCGTGGGCGTGGTAGGGGTTACCCTCCGCCCGCAGCCTGCGGTAGCCCTCCGCTTCCTTGGCCGCCTGCTCTGGATAGTGCACCCCGATGTCGCCCGCGGTAAGGTTTGGGGAGGTGAGCTGGAGAGGGGCGGAGAGGAGCTTAAAATCGGGATTATTGTATGGTTCCCGGTTTGGACGGACGACGGTGGGTCGTGGACGGTGATCCTTGGTGACGTTGCCTGCAATATCCGAGTCGATCCACGAGTGCTCGAGCAGCTCCCTGAAGGTGAGGTCGAAGGTCCCATCCTTGGACTGGTCGTAGAAGCGCCACTTGTTGTCCCTGAGCTCGCGGACGGTGCCGTTGATGCGGTAGTGCTCGGCGACGCGGGACCTTCTGCGGAGGACGTCCCTGGGCGGCTCGCCGGTGTTCATGGAGAACTTCCTGGAGTGAATGATACTCAGCCCCCTATAGGACGGCAAATCCGGTCCCTGCTTCAAAAGAAGAGGACCACCGGTCCCGTTGGTGAGGTACTGCGTCTTCTCCGGGTTGAAGGTCATCTGCATGGTCAGGGCGCCGTTGCACATCAGGAAGGTGGGTGGGGGCGAGCCCCAGGTCTTCAGGGTGTTCTTCGCGTCCTCGATCATGATGTCAAGAGCGTTGGGGTGCTTCTGCATGAGCCCGTAGCTGTCGACGTACTGACGGATGAGCTGCAGTGTCGTCTTCTCGGTGGTGTAGTACTTTTCGCGGAGGTGGGCCTCGTAGTTGGGGGCGAGGAGCAGCGCGTGGTGGACGTCGAGGTCGTTGGACATCTGTATGGATCCTACCAGCTGCATTAACTGGCGCTTGAAATTCTCGCGTCCAGCCGGCGACATCATGAAGTTGTGCTCCATCTGGATCGCCATGCCGTTCCTGGTAATGTACGCGGCCTGGCTGGTCTTACTTTGAGTCAAGACCCTGGCTGCCGACTCGTAGGGCACGCGCGTGGCCAGGCCCTCGTCGAACCTCCAGACGTTCCACTTGAGCTTCTGGTCGGGGTTTTCGAGGTAGACGTAGGGGAGGATATTCCTAGTAAAAGGAGAGTTGGTGGCGTCGGTGATGAGCCCGTCCACGCGGTCCGCGAGGAAGGTGTTCGAGCCCTTGAGGACGTCGGGAAGGTGCCACCTCTGGTGCCGCTTGTGACGCTGCGTGTCCTCCTTGATCTGCCGTGCCGCGGGGCCGAAGACGGCCTCGTAGTCCTGGATCGTCGGGGTCGTCGAGTTGGCCGTCATCGTGCCCCCGAGGTTGACCCCGACGTCCCCCTGCGGGAGCATGAAGTTGTTGGTGTAGCTGCGGCTCTCCTGCGTCGTCCCCTCCATCGCGGGCCGGGGCGCTGTATGCGGGGTGCATTGGGTCTATGTTTATATATTGTTCGGAAGCGCTTAGGTGGTTACAGATTACGAGTCTGCTCTCTCCCTCCACCGATTGACCGCCGTGATGAGGATGTGGATGACGGTGATCCACAGGACGATCACGACGACGGTGTCGGCCATGTGCAGGGCGTTGACGGCCTGCTGCACCATCCCGAGGATGGTGTTGATGAGGATGAGGACGGTGAGCTCGGAGAGGGCGGTGGTGCGGGGGAGGTAAAGGCGGAAGGCCTGGAGCGCGAGCGCGACGAAGATCGCGACGGTGGCGACCGAGCCGCGGTTCACCTCGCGGGCCACGATGAGCGCGTGGATCTGGGCGGCACCCTGCCACACGGCGTAGTCGCGCATGGTGTGGAAGTCCGGGTACCGGAGGGAGAGGGCGTCGAAGATGACGAGGAGGCTGACGAGCTGCGTGATCTGCGGGAACTTGTCCGTGGAGGTGACGGAGATGGTCCAGCTGGCCAGCACCATCATGTTGGTCAGGGAGAGGATGACGGCGCTGAGGACAGTGGCGGTGATGGCGCTGTGACCCGGGAAGTGCTGCAGGCGGGAGAGGGCGAAGAAGCCAGCCATGCTGAGGTATGGCAGCGTCCAGCCGAAGCTTACCCTCTGCACGACGAACTCGGTGTTGCTCGCGAACATGAACAGCACGAGGCGGAGGAACTGCTGCCCGTCGGGTGATTCCCGGAAGCTCGCCGGCAGCACGCAGACCAGGATCAGGATGCAGAGCGACACCGTGAAGCACTCGATCTGCTCGAAGAGGCTGGCCGCCTCCGGGTCTGCGGGCTGGACGGAGCGGATGATGGCCTGGATGCCCACGAGCGCCGCGAACTTCCGGACCAGCTCCGCGATGTAGGCCAGTGTGCGCAGCATGCTGATCGTCGTTGGTCTGTTTCTGAGGATCGCCAGCGTGTTGTAGGACAGCGCCGTGATCAGGATGCTGAGGAACGCGATGGAGACGGCATCGAGGTGTGCGCCCACGGTCTTGTACACGAAGCGCACTATGGTGAAGGTCAGCGCGCTCTCTATCCTCGTCACGGTATCCAGGACGTTGGAGAGGGCTTCCATATTTCTTGTTTCTGACATTTCCTATGACAGATAGCTTATATCTTCCTCTTCCATGCTTCGCATCTTTTTGGAAGGATTCGGCTGAGGTGAATCCTGTGGAGATGGATTCGATGGAGGTGGATTCAATGCAGGTGACTGCACCTCGCCCTCCTTGAACCAGATCTCCAGTTTGTATCTCGGGTCGTTGAACAGCAGTGGGTTCGTACCATTGATGCGAATGTGACCCTGGAGGTTGGGGGGCGGTGCCGGGTGTGGGTTGATGCAGAGCTCGTGCTGGACCTGGTAAAAGTAGGCAAACCTCCCATCCGTGGCCAGCGGTATGGGTGTGACGGTGTCCCGCATGCGCACCAGCATGGCACTTATGGTATTTCCCGGGGGGAGGATGTCCCTGCGGATCACCAGCCGCGAGGCGTGCGGGGCGTGCGGATCGCAGGCCACCCTCTCCCGCACACCATCCTGGGCACACAGCGAGAGGGACTGCGGGTGCCGGATGTTGATCCTCTCCTCGAGTAGTACCGTGTTTCCCTGATTCCGCGATAGCCGGACCAGGGCGTGGACCGGGGTTTGGGGTGCGTGTGTGAGTAGGATTGGTGTCTCCAGGATGGGCTGCTGTCTGGGCATGTTCCCAGGATCGAAGGCACGGTAACTTTATAGCCATCCCCACCTTCGCCCATCTCACGCCTCCAACCCGTGCCTCCAGCCCGTATTTAAGATCCTGATCGAGCGCAATGAACAGGTGGTGGTGATGGACGTTTCGCGAGGTGCTTCACAGCAGGCGCTCTCCCAGCAGGCCATGGCCCAGAACAACCAGAATGTCTTCAGCAGCGATGCTACCCCCGAGGACCTCCAGTCCAACACCCCGATCACCATCCGCAGAAGGATCCATGTCAACATCTCCGGCACGATGGCTAACTTTAAGAAGCAGGGCGAGCTGGCGGCGACCTGGAAGCCCAGGGAGGGCAAGCAGGCGGCCGTCTTCGGCCTGTACGACGCCTTTGACAGCTCGCTCGACCACACCACCGCCGTCAACGCGCTCTCCAGCGCCAGGGTCAAGACCGCCAAGATCCTCGAGTACTCGAGCACCTTCCCCGTCTCTCTGGGCGTTTCGGTCAGCTGCCTGAACCCCGACGAGGCGACGGAGACGGGCGAGCGCTACGTCATGACCGCCCTCCCCAACACCAGCAACACCAACGCCCTCGTCATCCACGAGGCCGACAACTCTTCCAGCGAGAGCCTGGAATGGCGGCACAAGTACCCCGAGTACAACGAGAACAACCTCGAGACGGAGGGTGTCATCAACCTCGAGAAGCGCCCCTACATGTTCGTCAACAAGGACCACCCCGTCATCGAGATGCTCAGGTGCAACAAGGACGTACTCTCCGCTGACATTGACGAGCAGCCCCTCGTCGACGGGCAGTACTACAAGCTCGCGACCCAGGTGATGAAGACTATGTGTAACTTACTCCGCACCAAGGTCCTATCCAAGGTATCCACCCGCGACTTGAACACCTTCCAGGTCCAGCTCCACCGCCTCAACGGCCGCGACTGGGACTCCATCCGCAAGGAGGAGTTCGGGGAGATGGTCGGAAGGAACGACCCCTCCTCCGTCGACGCCATCACCGAGCTCCTCAACAAGCACTGCAACTTCACGGCGAGGGTGGAGCTTGAGTACGAGATCCAGCCTTAGAATATATGTGTGTATATTACAGGGTTGTTAAAAAAAGAAAGACTATGCTCCTCACCTGCCACCCACACACTCGTAGGGGATGAGTGCCACAGAATGAACATCCCGGAGTCCTGGGTGGGTGCCAAGCGCAGCCAGGGCCAACCGGTGGAGTCCGAACCGTCCGCATCGAAGAAGAAGAAGAAGCGTCTGGTGGTGGAGAAGAAGGCAGAGGCGAAGGCAGAGGCAAAGACAGAGAAAAAGACAGAGGTGAAGGCAGAGACGAAAAAGGAAAAGAAAGCAGAGTCCATCCCCATAGAACCAGTGGAGTCCGTCTTTTCCCTCGGCGCCGAAGAACCAGCGCCCTGCCCGGAGGTGACGCCCGAGGACCTCGAGGGGATGCCATCGCAAGAGTCCGGGGTCTACAACGAGCTGCGCTGCGCGATCCACGAGAGCGGCAGCAGCGGCCCGGCGCAGACCCTCTCGCTGGACAGCGTCATCTCACGGCAGCCCTACATCAAGATGATGCAGAACCTGTTCGGGGCGTACGACGAGAGCTGCTTCTCGCAGGTCCCGCCGGTGAAGATCGTGACGAAGGCGTGGGAGGAAACGCACATGCGGGAGCCGCACCCGGACGAGCGGCCGTGCTCCATGGGCATCAATTGCGAGTGCATGTTCATCGACCCCGCGCTCCCCTTCACCTGCGTGGAGTTCCGGCTGCCGAACGAGCCCCTCCCGAACGAGCAGCAGCTCTGTGTCCTGTGCCTTCGGAAGCTCACGCAGAGCATGTTCTACGACATCGTGTACCAAGGGAACCGCTTCAACGGGGTGATCCAGAGCCACGGCAACATCTGCGACCAGCCCGGGGAGTACGCGAGGCAGGTGATGCTCTCGTGCCCCATCGGCGGGCCGGTGCACTGCATGCCGCTCCCCATCGTCTCCCACCAGCGGAACCGCTACTCCGTTGTCCTGAACAACGTCGGGGTGAAGCACCTGAAGCAGCACCGCGTGGCGTGGGAGGATTTTCGATCGACCCCTCCTGGGCCGTGAGGCTCGCCCCCGCGAGGAGGCCGCAGGGCCCGGCCGGCAACCCCCTGGACAGCATCGCCGTGATGCGACCGGGGAGGGAGCCGCTCGACATCCACCCACTCGGGTGCCTGTCGGAGGCCGACCTGCCGCCCCGCGGAGGGTGGGTCCCAGGGGGGGGATTCCAGGAAACCTTCCAAGAATCATCCCAAGAAGTAGGCAGTTTCTGTCCGGAGGACCCAGTCCTGGACGCGGAGCTTGCGAGGCTGCATGTGCTCCTCCACGCCGGAGAGACGAGGGCGCAGCTGCTCATCGACACTCGCCTGCTGGCGTGCTGGCTGGCCACCACAGCGCCGGGGCTCTACAAGAGCGTGCCGCGGGAGTCGCTCGTCCCGCACCCGTCCTCGGCCTACCACCATAAGAACCTGCCGGACATCGGGCGCTTCATCCTGCAGAGCCTGGCGCACCGCGACTGGAAGACGAACCTCATCGTCAACGTCATCTGCAACAGCATGCCCTGCCTGAAGCGGAACCGCGTTGCGTTCCTCGACAAGGACGCATTCGCCCACCCCCACGCGACCGTGCTCATCAACATCCTGCACGGCCTGCTGCTGGGGCTCTACCCGAGCACGGCCAAGCGCCCCGCCTTCCGCTGCAGGGTGAGGCTCGCCGGGGAGCTGCGCGCCCTGCTCTGCGCCCCGCTGCGCGCTCAGGCGGAGTTCCTGCAGGGCCACCTCCCGCTGCTCAAGCTGTCGATGATGGAGTACCTCTGGCACGCCTGCGGAACGTACCTGACGACAGAACTCGACGCCATCTCCCACGTCCACGGCATGGCCACCTTCATGGAGATCTGCCCCAACATCTGCGACGGGTTTCGGCAGGAGGGCCTCCAGGACTCCCGCTGGACGTGGGACTCCCTGAGCTCCGTCGCCGCCACCTTCGTCGAGCGCTGCGTCCGGACGTGCAAGTTCCGCATGGGGAGGGCCAGGGCCGACGCGGAGGGCCACGCGTTCTGGGCACTGCCCTGGAAGCCGTACCCGGTGCGCCCCCCGAACACCCCCCACCAGGAGCCGCTGCACACCCCAGGTGGACAGGACCCTCCCTGCCCGTACCTGACCAAGCCAGGCCAAGAGGCGCTCCAAACCCCGCAGCCCCCCGTCTCCAAATGGAAGCGCATCGCCCCATCCCAGTCGCACCTCTTCGAAGTCGCCCGGGAGATGCACGTCGCGCAGGCCCCCGGCGTGCTCTGGAGCGTCTACTCCGAGTTCCACCCCCACCTCTCCGTGGAGGACTTCCACCTCATCGAGCACCTCCACGCCCGCTGCCGTGTCCACCCGCTGCCCTGCAACCTCGCCGCCACGCAGGCCCGCATGCTGCTCGAGACCTACGGACAGGACCACGCCCAGCTCGCCAGCGTCTCCCGCGTGCACCTCTGCCTCCGCTGCTGCAACAAGCCCAACGCCGACGCCATTTCCACGAAGCTCCGCCTCTGCATGCACACCGGCAGGCTGATCTGCGTCTCCTGCGCCTCCCACCTCCCCGTCGTCGCCGTGGACTTGCTCGGGAAGGTCCTCGTCGTGCAGGGCGTCACCTACTACCTCTGCCCTGTCTGCGGCGGGTGCAAGCGCTGGGCCTTCAGCGGCACGGAGTTCACCTGCGTCGACTGCGGGCACCGCCCCACCCCGCCCCCGCCCCGCCCCACCCCCAGGCGCTGCCTCCACTGCAGCAAGACCAACGGCCTCGAGCGGGCCACCCTCCTCTTCGCCGACTTTGGCGTCCGCGTCCAGGTCTCCCTCTGCTCCAGGCACGCCCTCCCCGCCCACGTCTCCCGCTTCGTCCGCGACGTCGGGGACTACTGCAGGGCGGCCCGCGCCTGCGAGGCAGAGAGGGCAGAGGCCCGCCAGTGCAGGGGCAGGCGGAGGTGACCGTATTTAAGGGTGCGCTGCAAACGCCTGGCACTGCTCTTTCGCGTATCTTACCATGCCGAAAAGTCAACCCCGAATCGGGACAAGGTACAAACAAAATGTCCAGGCCGTGAATCGCCCACCGTCACCACAGAGCTTCGCTCAGGCTCTGCAGGCTCCACCGGTTGCAAAGGCTCTGTGTCACGTGACCGGTCAGGTGAGCCTGTCAGCCGGGTCACGGCCCCTGTCAGCCGGCTGACATGTCACGGGCCTGCTGACACGGTCCGCTGACCGGTCACGGCCGCCCGGAGAGATCAGGCCCCCGGCCAATCTCCGGACACTTAGCCTCCTGGCGGGCCTCCAGGGGGTCTGAGGCGGGGCTGAAGGCTGCAGTCGGTCTACTGACGGGCCCGGCCGGCAGGATCCGTCGAGAAACAGGGGGGTCAAGGGAGGTTTTCTTCCCCCTGGGAGAAATGTCCTATGGGTTTTTGGATCTGCGATATAAAAAAGTCTTGTCTCGGTCACGTGATGTGTCACGTGACCGGTCAGGTGAGCCTGTCAGCCGGGTCACGGCCCCTGTCAGCCGGCTGACATGTCACGGGCCTGCTGACACGGTCCGCTGACCGGTCACGGCCGCCCGGAGAGATCGGGCCCCCGGCCAATCTCCGGACACTTAGCCTCCTGGCGAGCACTCCAGGGGGTCTGAGGCGGGGCTGAAGGCTGCAGTCGGTCTACTGACGGGCCCGGCCGGCAGGATCCGTCGAGAAACAGGGGGGTCAAGGGAGGTTTTCTTCCCCCTGGGAGAAGTCTTGTCTCGGTCACGTGATGTGTCACGTGACCGGTCAGGTGAGCCTGTCAGCCGGGTCACGGACCCTGTCAGCCGGCTGACATGTCACGGGCCTGCTGACACGGTCCGCTGACCGGTCACGGCCGCCCGGAGAGATCAGGCCCCCGGCCAATCTCCGGACACTTAGCCTCCTGGCGGGCCTCCAGGGGGTCTGAGGCGGGGCTGAAGGCTGCAGTCGGTCTACTGACGGGCCCGGCCGGCAGGATCCGTCGAGAAACAGGGGGAAATGTCCTATGGGTTTTTGGATCTGCGATATAAAAAAGTCTTGTCTCG